AGTAAATATATTATTTACCTACAGTAATATAAATAAATTACAGTATTAAGAGACTGTATTCTATCAAGAATGTAAATCATTGCTCTACTAGAAAAGGATCTACAGCTGTGGGCCCCTGCAGGTGGTTCACATATATATATTTTGACCTGTGGGTGGTTTGCATACAATCTTGACCCGGCCCAAACCCAACAGGCTGGGTTGCGAAACCTGAAAAACCCGGCCCAACCCGCGGGCCTAACAAGTCTATTTAGAGCTTAAACTAATTTATTATTATATAAAAAATTAATATAAGAATATTATTTTTAAGTTTCTGCTTTAGTAAATAGAAATATATAGTGATATTAAAGATAAATAGTAAAACTCTAGACTTATTTTTTTTTATATAAGAAATTATAGCTTAATAGAACTGCTCTATTTCTTCTGTATAATTATACTAAGTAAACTAGGTAGTTATAGATAAAGTAAAGACTAAAATTACTTAAGAAAAAGTAAAAGAAAAAGAATTAATAAGATTAATAATCTTAGAATCTCTTATATATAAAGAAGAAGAATATAATCTCTAGACTAGATATAAACTATAGACAAGGATATCTCTATATAGATAGCCTATATAAGAGCAGTAAGATATCTAGAAATCTATAAGAATATTTTTACTTTTATAAGTTTTTTCTCTTTTATATAAGCTAGTAAAGAATATATATTATTTTAAAGTAATAATATAGAATAATATCTATATATAGAACTAATATAAATCTAGTTAATCTATTATTTCTAGATTATTTATAGTCTTTTTCTTAAGATTATTTATAATCTCTATCTATAGAATATCTTGAAAAAGAGATTATTAATTAAAGATCTCTATTAATCTAGATAATAAATTTAGTTCTAGCTTATTTTTCTATATAATATAGGCTTAAATTCTTGTCTGCAGATTAAAATAAATTATATAAAAAAAAACTAAAATATCTCTATCTATATATTCTAGAGAATTTTAAGAATTAAAGTTAAGCTTCTATAATTAGATATTAGTCTAATTATAGATAGTATATAGTAAATACTTATTAGAATCTTTTATAGAAAAGATTAGTAAAATATTTAATATTAAAAAAGTAATTATAAGATTTATTCCAGTCTTATATATTATTTTATAAGAAATAAAATAGATATCTATTAAATTTAAGCCTATAATTTAAGATATTATTAATAAAATAGTTATAATTTATAAAAAACTTACTAGAAATAAGATATAGCCTATTTTTTTACTTTTAAATAAAATAGTTATTCTATATTTATATAAAGAAGATTATTTTAAGCTGGAGTACTAATATATAAATTATATATAAAGTAATCTAATTAGCTAGATTATTCTTTAAAAATACTTCTTTTTCTTAAAGAGCCTGGAAATAGTTCTAATATAGAATTAGTCTTTATATAAAATAAAATAAGAGAAATATATAATATATTTTCTATTAAAAAAGTAAGCTATAGCTTAATTAAAGCTATCAGACTTTAATTTATTAATTAGCAGTGCTTGTACTATATATATAGTACTTAAAAATCTGGATTTCTGGATATTTAGACTGCTACAACTTATATTAAGTCTCTATAAGAAGAATTATCTCTGTTTCCTAGTCAGATTATATAAATCAAGACTGCTATTTAGTAATCTAGAGAATATCCAGAAACTGCCAAAGTACACTAACAGCTATATAAGAGATAATTCTAATATAGATCTAAATAATATACTAAGAATAGATATTAATTATAGTATAAATCTTAATTCTATATAATAAAAGCTTAAGATAGCTATTTATTAACTAAATAAAATTTAATTTAAATATAATATATATATCTTATTATTATTAAAGATTATTTAATTATCTTTATATAGTAATAGGTATAAGGCCTTAATATAATAAGTAAAGATAGTCTCTAAGCTTAATTAGACTAATATATAATAAAATATAATATAATATATCTAGCTATTAAAAGATCTTAACTTTAAAAATATTAATAAAGTAATATTTTTCTATATTTCTTAATCTAATTCTTTTTAATCTCTATATAAAGTTTAGATAGAATAGCTTCTATTTATACTTAAGTAGCTATAGAATTTATTATATAATAATATAATTCTAGCTAATACTGAATATATTTTAATATCTAAGTCTTGATATTAAAGTCTTTTAGCTATAGAATCTTAAGTAATTTCTTTTTTTCTAGACTAACTTACCAGAAAAGAATCTTAATATAAGTATAAAGAATTAGATTATTTAATACTTTATAATTCTGTTTTTAAATATCCCACTGTTAAAGACATGTCTTGATTGTCCAAGTAGTGACTGTAATACCATAAGAATTGGCTAGAGTCTCTGTAATAGTATTAGGGGATATATTATTTATATAAAGATCAGTAATCTCTGCCTTATAAGGCTCAAGATTAATTGCCGGACGAGGCATGATGATGGCTTGTACAATAGAATCTAACTCTTGTAGAAGTAAGCTACACCGCTTGTTTTAAGAGATCTGAGCTCCAAGCAGGGCGGGCAGGAGGGTGGTAGACAAAACGATTACATGAAATTTCAGTTTTTTCCCTTTTGTCCCAAGGGTCTGCCGTACAAACCCTCAAAATGGAGGGCGAGGGTGAAGTTCCGCGAGGGTTTAGCCGCAGCCTCCAGATTCCTGTAGCAATAGACTCTTTGTTGCTATCTATTGCTCACCACATGTAGCTGGTTGATCATAGATTGTTAGAGATACGAATTCTAGTGCGCATCTTTTATTATAGATATTTACATCAGGCATCCTGCTGCACGAGAAGCAATGTCAACAAAAGATCAGTTGCACTGATCATACATAATCTCCCTTGGATGGTCTGCTGGCGATAAGCGCCCCTGTTAATGCTGGTGCTGGCGCTCCAACCTGTGGTGCGGCCGTTGTATTGCCGCGCACACTTGGTGTTACGGAATCAGAGAAAGAGATGGGCTCCTTGGCGATCTGAATCAATTGATTAAGGACGAAATATTCGAGCTTTAGCTTGATACTGTAGGTGACGTGCCTAAACATTGCCTGAAAGGTATAGTACCCGGCCAATTGAATTCCTATAATCGCCATGTCAAGCAACACAATAGCAATGTTCATGACGAGCAACTGGACGAGGATATGTATATATGAGTGTTTTGAGCGAAGTCGCAGTAGCTTGGTAGTCTCCCATATATAGATAATAGAGATGAGAGACTCCTGGATACAAAATGCAATAAGCTGGGCTAGTGTCATGATGTTATATGCGGTTCCGAGGCGGCGGCTATCCAAAGAGATAACGATATAGTTAAGCACAGCAGTGGGAACGAGAAAGACGATAGTATCGATGATAATTATCCGGAAAAGGATCTGGAGTAGTTTTGGCGATTGCAAGACCAAGTGTAGTCGCGACCATAATACAAGTGAGTGGCCTGTAAGCACACAGCACGAGGTAATAAAGCATAGGGTGACCGATATATAGCTTGAGATTCCCCATTGATAGAAAAGGAGCATATCGCTTAGGCAATACGGGACAAGGTTGGAGGATGTGATCAATAAGCTCCAGAAGTAATAGCCCCGGTACCGCTTAAATGTTAACAGGCAAAGCACAACCAGCTCAATGGCATTATACCATGCCACAGCGGCAAAGGCTGAGACAACATATTTCTCTACCTCGACACCCAATGAATTCTGGATAAATAGTTCTTGACCTCTTCCATACATAATTAGGGTAAATCCGCATTCAGAGAAAGTACCTAGTTGCAACAAATAGACGAGTATTATATAGCCTGAGGTTTAGTGTAAGAGAGGGGATAAACAGTTATTAAAAGGCTGCTTTCGTTCGGTCAATCTTCTACTTTCTTTTGTGTGACTACCTTGCCAGGCAAACCAATGTTTGTTCGCAGCCCGCAGGGTTACTTTGCGCGAGTTTCTCATGCCTGTGCCATGGGACTACGGATCTGCCCACCGAGCTACCTACTCTAAGTGGCGTATTCTGTTTAAGCGGAATGATAACACAAAACCTCCAGGATGGCTATGACCGAATATAATGGGCTAACTTCGGCTGAATGGGGGGGGTGAATAGGGCCGTCGCTGACAGTCACCACTAAAGAGGATCTAGGACTAGATAGCAAATAAGCTGATCTCATCTACAGCTCAGCATTTACCGTTAGCACTGCCCATACTTTTAAACCTTGGTACTTCCCGACCAGAAGCTATAGAAAGTTTAAGGCAAACCGCGCAAGCCGGAAGTGGCAAAAGGCCTTGATCGGGACCATGCCCGTTAGAGACTTCTATTGGGGGAATGCGCTCGCCAACACCGGGTCTGGATTCTGGACTACAATCATTAACAAAGCGTAATCGCCTAGAATACTGTTTCTCAACAAACCAGGCAAAGGCGCGCCTATGGAAGGAGACATCGTACTTAGGGCCGGGGATGTTAAATAGGTCAAGACCTGCATCGGGTTACTTGGTCAAGTGTTATGGTATGTAGGTAAGTGAGGGTCTGTCTCGGTCTCAGGCGGCCTACTTGTTGTGATAATCCTGGTTGTCAACTTCTTTGGATCAGGCGTGAACTTAAGGCCGAGTTTCCTTCCTCCTTGGACTAGTGTCGGGTTTCTCCGGAAGTCTCTGGGGATTAACTAGATATCCATATTTAATTAATCTTTTTCCATCTATTGAGTTTGCACTCGCCGTATCTGTCATGGTCCGCTCCAGAGTAAGCGGGACGTTAGCTTAACTCAGACGCGTTTCGTATTCTGTATTCACGAGCGACTAATTACGCAGCCCAATGAAGGCGACAGGTTCCTAGCACCGTTAGCTAGGAACAGCCAACGCCTTGAAGCCAGGGTAATGTCAGGGCCTAGGCCGAACTCTGCCTGAGGCACCAAGTCTGCTTTATTCGCTGTTGATCCGATCCTACATTACGAGATCCCACATTACTGTGTGATAGAATTCTTTCTTTCTTTCTTTCTTTCTTTCTTTCTCTCTTCCTTCGCCGCGTTGGACGTTTCGTTAGATCGCCACCTAGATATAATTTCGTGCATATTAGCAAGGTGGTATAGGATCATCACACGCTACGAGTCGTCAACTTCAGACACCTCCCATAATCTATACAAAATTCGGAAAATAATTAGGGACCAGAATAGGTTAGACAGGAACTGGCTCCATCAATCGCGGTACCGTGGTGACCGCCAGACGCCCCGTCGTTGTGTGGTTCGTGCCGTGAAATCGCTGGGTAGAATCACTTTGTTAATAATATACTAATCCATGACAAGTATCAGAACTAAGTTCGACGAGCCGCTGGGATATATGTACTATATTTTTTAGCGTCCAGAATATCTCCTATCCACTAGAGGAGATCCTACAGCTGACATCATATAGAATATACCAGATATGTTATGAGGTGCGCCCGGCCTCCATCATCTGAATCCTGGGTCACCTCTGGATCCCACCGACGTCTCTATGCGATGCGTAGGGTAGGTGAGGATCTTGATGACACTTGTATCCACTCTTCAGATTGCCGACGCCGTGGCTGGATGTTCTGGGGTGCTTCTCATGGGACTACTAAAGATCCCTGCCTGTTCTGGGAAAAGGATTGGGGTCAGATTACTGCTGAATCATATCAAGCAAAGATTTTGCCTTTAGTAGATGGCTATATACGCCTGCTAAAGCAAGAAAATCCCAATACTACTCCGCTGTTTTTTATGCAAGATAATGCACCTAGCCACGCTGCTCAAGAGACAAAGGGTGACCTAGAAGAGCGTGGAGTATCAGTAATTTACTGGCCTGCTTACTCGCCTGATCTAAATCCTATTGGAAATATACGGGATTGGATGAAGGATTGCATTATGGCACGCTATCCAGATGAGGCAGTTTTATCATATGATCGGTTGAGAATAGTAGTTAGACAGGCCTGGGAAGCAGTTCCCGAGTCGTTTTTTGAGGATTTGCTAGATACTATGCAGGCCCGTTGTCAGGCAGTAGTCGCTGCAGAGGGTGGGCATACAAGATATTGATTTCGAATAGCTTTAAATTGAGCACTTTTTATGAGCTTTTAACTGAGCGCTTTTAGGAGGTATTTTATATGGGAGTTGAATAACCCCCCAGCTTTTTTGGCTTATCCGTCTGCAGATATACATATATACCCTCCCCATATCCGCAGCTTGTAGGGAAGAGTTACTCATTATCCTCCCCTACCTTATCCAAATGCCACTCTAGTGGCAGAAATAGTTAATGCCAAAATATTATCTCGTTTTATTTTTTCCTTTTATTGTTTCACTTGCCTGCCGTATAGGCCTTATACTAATATTGACGACTGAGACAAAGTTGTGCTAATGTATGTATATACGTACCCTTAAAAGAAGAGTTATAGGAGAGCCTGAAGAAAGTGGCTGATTCTGTCGGGGGAGCACAAGTAAGGGATATTTTTATGAAAGTAGTGGAACGACTTGGCACTAAAGTATCTGAAGATACTATTAGCAAGAAAATCTATTCTATCCTAGAAAGCGATAGCACAAAAATCCAAGTAGAAGCAACCGGAATTAATGTTGTAGATTGGCCAAAAGTTAAGCGTGGCCTAATTACAGTGCAGGAAATTCAAGCAGTCGTGGATAATATTAAGGACAAAATCAAACATCAGTCCTATTTTGCTGAACTTATCAACAGTGGGTATGTCTCCCCTGTCGATTTACTGACAGGGAAAGGGGGAGTTACAGCAAAAACTGGATAATGGTTATTCTAATATTGTCGACATTAGGGTTTACAAATCTTCCCTATTAGTGTTATATGAAGAAAGGATATTGGTGGAGGCACTCCTCGCTCGTGGAAGTTTTGAAAGCAAAAAAATTCCTGATCTGACCGAGGGTGAAAAAGGTAAATCCCCAAGCAGTACATCACTCATAGTGAATGAAACTAATCTAAGTACTATATTTAGCCTCGAGAATATGGGCTGGGAGGATTGTGCATCTACTTTAGGGCCGGCTGCATACTTCGTGGATTTCACTGCCAAGCTAAAAGCTATCACTATGGAAAATGATTTCTTTGGCAAAAAGTATCTCCTCTTCAAAAAAGAGGAAGAAGATGGAAAAAGGGATAAAGCAAAATTAAGCTTGCAAGATGTACTGTTTGCGCGCCGACCCGACCTCGGAACTTTGCAGCTCTCCTGTGCTAATATCATGTGTGGGTTCCATATATTGATCTTGGCGCCTTCCTCAGCAAGGACCTAATCATTACCGTTACCTACGTACTCCGTGAGCCTTAGGGATTAGAGGCACTTACGGCATGTTGGCTACTGGGAACAACTGTTGAGGGTCTGTTGGATTTTGCCGGGTAAGCACCCGTCGACATGTTTCATATCTGCAATACTTGAGATTGACTGGTTGTATTTGGTGTGACGGCCAATCAATATGATGATATTGGAGCTATCTTATCTAGAATTGCAAGCCTGAGGGGAAAGAGGAGGACGTTTTGTGGGGGACGTGAGACATGTGAGGGGAAATAGAAAGCTATGTACAATCAGCGCAAGCACTAGTGAATTCATCACAGGTGTAGTCTGAAATAATAGAAGACAATGAACGTCTCCCGCGTTAGTTGTTCTGCCAAGTGTCCACTGTCCAACTACTCTGATTCCTACCGGCCACATCCGAATTCGCAGTGGTTTGTAAGATCGCACCACCCCTTTCACTAACGAGAGTGATAATCCACCGACGATCGAGTGGCCGGACTGAGGAAGCTGCACAATCACATTCAGGCATGCTCGATGCAGAGGAACACTACAACCTGCACAGAGGAGTATGTTGTCCAACCTCATCCGATGACCTCCATTCTGCAGCACTATGGGTGACCCGGACGTGATTGAAACGCCTGCCTCGCTTCTAGATTCTATAGTCAGCTTCCTCACTGGCCCATATAGATCGGGCAGTGGATATGACCTGCCCCAGGACGTACGTCACGCTCAAGGGAGAGAGGGGAAGGAATTTGGCATGGCCTGTAACATTCATAACCACGCCAGCACGGTAGGAATATGATGGCGCAACTCAAGGTCGCGTACAAAGTTTCACTGCATGCGCTCTGTACATTCTCCTTGACTAAACACCAATTCATATCCGTCAGTTCGGATATATGATAAATGCATTGTGGAGACTAGCTTGACCATGTGGAATGACCCGATTGGCTTCCCACCAGAGAGTGCCTATGGAGGTGGCTCCGTGCACAACTTAGTGTACAAACACAAATAGACTAGCAGGGATACAATGGCCCTGATGTGCTGATAATTAGTGGGATGAGTGGAACTTGGGAAGGCTGAACATATAGGCGAGGCTGTAAGCCTTAAGCCAATAAGAGGCACGATCGGACTCTCACTCAACTCACGACTCCACACAGCATCATGCAATTTAGAAGCAAATACATCGACAGGTAGCTACAGTAACCCCAAGCATTAAATCCATTCAATCTTTCTCTACACCTTGAACTTTCTCGGCAGCTTCCTGATCCACTGCCTCAAACACGCCCTCCTTCTTTCCTGCCTGCAGCAACACAGTGAACCATGTAGTTGCTATCTCGGTTTTCGCCGGCTTCACGGTAAAGACCGGATCGCTCTAGAGCTCGGTTAACTGCAACACATACTTCCCGGCCTTGTGTACTGTACCTTCGAGTTCGAGGGTGAACGACGAGACTCCAGGATCAGCGGAGAAGAGGTAACGTGGACCACGACCAGGGGGAAAGTTGCCCTCCGGAAGAACGGAGAACTCGAGTAGACGATCTTGGCCGACAACCTTGTGATCTACATACAGATCCTTGATGCGGCGATCTGTGGTAATGCCGGTGTGTGATAACAGCCAGGTCTGTTTATCATCGTCCGTCTCGCTGTCTGCTTCGCTGCCTGACGGGGTGTCCTGCTCATCTTGCTGGTCGGCTTTATCAGAAGCTAACGTTTTTCCCGGCTGACCATCTTTCAATGGAACAGATTCTGTGCGATTGGTGGGAGACGTTTTATCCGGCGAGGGCTCTTGTTCGCCCTCCTTGGTATTCCCCTTGTGTCGACTCTGCGTAACATCCTTGTCTGGCTTCTCCATCTTCTTTTCCCATTTCTCCTCACTGAAAAGCCCATAACCATCGAGACCACGGACTTGACTCATAGTAACTTTGATGCGAGCAAAAGCAACTGTCTTCGTGGTCATGTTCGTTGCAATTAAAGTAAGCTTGGCACGGCCATTCTTGGAGTCGTACTCAAGGCTCGGTTGCCACCTGACACGAAGGAGAAGACCTGAAGGTGGAGGCCCGCCCTTTATCTGCCTTGTTGTAGAATCTCTCGGGATCCCCTTCGTGAACTCGAATTTAGCGCTTGGAATATGAAGTTGAACCCGATCTCCTTGCAGCCTAACATGACCTGTTAGTATCTAGTATGGTTATTGTGACCACAGAGGCGTCACAGAGTAGAACGCCTAGAGTGGGAAGAACAGGCAACTTACGGTAGGTACTCGATGTCTGTATAAACGTGACCCTTGTCGCTAATGATGGGCTTGCCGAACCGGAGCGTGCCTGTACCGGGATATATGAAGCGACCGGCAGCCTTAAACGTCTCCTGGAGTGTCTCATTGACATACGCAAGCGATGTAGAAAGAGTTTCCTCGATATCTCTTGCCAAGTGTTTTCTCTGCATCTTCGAGAACATACCGGGTCCTCTTTGGGTCAACCGATACCTTAAGGTTCTCGGGATGCTTGGTCTCCTTGTCGATCTTCTGAATGACGGGAGATATGGTACCATTCTCATTGACCACACCTTCAGGGGCTAAATTAACCTCGACACTGCAAGTTGAGACAATACAAAACCTTTCAGTAGAGTCAGCTTCACATCTCATAAACGAGCAATGATTGTCAGAAAGGGTTGAAAAGGGGGAAGAAGCTGAGTATGGACAACTAGCTCCCAGGATCTAGAGCTTGGGGATAGCCACAGCACTTACTCTCCCCACCACACTACGCTAGGGCCCGCATGGGACTCCCAATTGAAATCTGGGTTATTGAAGTACCCCTCCCAATGACGGTAGGTGTTCTCGGTAGCGACGATTAAGGTACTCGAAGAGTCTACCCTGCGAACAGTCACTGACGTCTCAGTTACAGTCTTATATTTACGATACGTAGGTGCTCCGGGGGCGTCATCCCCGTAGTAGTGGACCAAAGTCCCACTACCCGGCGCCTCAAGTGTTTTGTGCCACTTCCAGTCGAGCAGGCCATTCTCGGTGAACGCGTAATAGCTATCATGGGCGTCTTGCGGGGGAACCACTGCGAATTCTCCAACCTGCTCCGCCGACAGGTTTTGCGGGAGACTGCCCCCAGCTACCTGCGGGATACAAATGCATGATTTCGTGCCTTCTTTTGATTTATCAGTGTATAACAGCGGCTTGAGAGGGATGACCTGTGCTGCCAGACAGAGCTCCTGCAAGCTGGGAAGCAAGTATTTGCCGAAGAAGAGTCGATAGTTCAGGACAAACGTGCCTTGTACCCCTTCAGGCCAATCTGCGGAAGAGTCTGGAGGTATGGCAAGGTTGCCAGAAAAGGAAATCAAGTTTTGTTTAGGGACTTTTCGGCCGTCGACTGTTTCGCAGAACACCAAGCAATTACGTGGCTCGTCGAGTAGACCCTCAGGAGTGCGGCCTAAGGACCTGGCATTAATATAGTCATTGTCGTCTATGTACGGATAATTCTGAAGAAACAGGCCGGTCGGTACTAGAGAATGGTAAAGCAGGTCAGCTAGGACTCTCTCATTGACCGAAATTCCCAATGGAGTCTGGGGCAAAAAAGAGCTCACCAAAGGTTGGAGCTAAAGGGTCCTCTGCGAAAGGTAATTGTCAGCCTGTCTACATCATAGTCAAAGGGGCATGGACTCACCAGCAGGGCCTGGAACGCGGATCTGTAGGCCCAATGTGAAAAATGCTGAATACTGGTGGTCCATCGCCCAGGTGGCCAGAGTGGTTTTGACCTTGCCCGCGTTTCTTCTGTTCTGGATACTTTTCCGTGCCCATTGCTCCAGGGTCATGTTGCCCGATTCTTCCAGGACCGTGCTCCGAGTCTGATCGGGAATCGCCCAACTCGTTTCTGGTTACGATCAGTCTCAGATGTTGGAAAAAACCTTTGCTTCTAGCACTATGTTGACTAGTTACTCACGAGAGATAGCCGCAAAGAGACGATAAATGGAGTACTCTCCCGCTCTCATCTTGACTGGTTTCTCGGGGTCAAGTTCGGGTAATCTAAAGGTCTTCTGTAGGTCTGCAAGAGCATCTTGGGCCTTCAGTCGCTCTTCTTCCTCCATCAAATCTTGAGGCGTTGCGATCATTTGATCGAGGCGGGCAACCACCGTGATGACCCAGTTGTCGATCCTCACATCGCCCGAACCAGGGTAATAAATCCTGCCTTTGTCGACCCTGTGACGAATTGCCACGAGCGTTAGCAGGGTACGACCTGGACGATGTAGGAGAGGACATGCCATTACCTCAGGGAATAGTATATCTCAGGGGATTTGCCTTGCTCCTGGTTGGGCTCAATCATGATGCGTGGCGGTTTCAAGGTTGCCAGTATGTTACCAATGTGGGATTCGCCATTTTCAAACTCCAGTTGTTGCAGATCCGGGCGCTGTTCCCAAAGCAGCTCAAAGTTTCTGTTGATGAGGCCCTCGGATAAAGCACAGATCTGGTCATAATAATGATCCTGCCCAGTCCCAGTGATGAGAGAGATATCGTTGCGGGTGAGAGGTCGGGCAGCCATATCGGTTGATTGTTTTCAGGCTCTGCGGTGAGTCTGCTAACAGATGTCAGTGAAACTAGAATGTGGGATTCTAACAGAAGGGGATCGTTTAGAGGGTCAGTAGATAAGACATGGAGCCTATTAAGTTTATGTAGGCTTGTATGGCTCTGAGGGGTGCTGCCTTGTAGAACAAGTAGTGATGGAGAAGGCAATACTCCCCAGGGGAAAAAAAAGTCAAAAGCGCCACATCGCCTTACAAGCTGCTAAAGCAATAGATGAGCGCCAGGGCCTCCTAGAGCTAGCTATAAGCAACCAATTGTGACTTAAAATGATGGAGTGATCCTGCAATGTCTTCTAGAAGACAAGTTACAGGCAGCGTACGACGTCCTATCGCCACGTATTGCATCCGTCTGTCTTTGATTCACACCAGGCTTCCTAACTGCGGGGTTGGAAGCACACAGGAGAGCGGGAAGAAGACGGGCACCCATGCAGATCTGTAGTGTTGCAGTGGATATGTGCCTAAATGAGCAGAATGGGTAGATGATATGGCCTGCTTCAAGGCAACTGCCATCATGGTGTGCGCCACACATCAAGTGACCATTGCTGATCCCAGCAATATACGCAGATACGACACGCCATCTTGCGTTCTCCTCATTTACCCCGTTACGGTGGACCCGGACACCGTTCCCCAATAGTAATGGTAGACGGATTCGGGGAGAGACACAGTGGAGTGCTGATCGAAGGGGAACAATGGAAACGCCGCGGTTAGCGGACAGAGCTTCCCATGCTGTACTCTATATGAACGACGTAGGCCAAATGAGAGGTGTTGCCTTTGCAAGGTGGCTAGCACACCTTGTCGTCATTCAAGCATATTCCTCGTTCTCTGTTTTACTCCCAATCCACATTACCAAGCGGAGCCATTGTTCCACAAAGCCATGGACCAGTCCTCAATATCCGCTCTCGACACTGTAACGGCGTACCTTGATCAGTCTGAGCATGGAACCAATCCATCTGCGGGACTTGAAGGCGTTCTTAAAGAGGGCCATATCCTGGCGCAGGATGTTCCTGTTCTCAGCTTTTCCAAAGCCCTGCTACGCTTCGCCGACAATAACTGGGAAACCTGTCGCTGGCTCTTGGGCCAAATAAAAGGCCAAATGCTAAGCGAGGCCTTGGCCGACCTGCTCTTTCCAGTGTCAAATTTTTGAAAAACTGAGGAAGCAAAGACCAGCACCTGATGTAGACGAGGACATCCTGCTCGGGATCCGGAGACGATTCTTTCAAAACTACCCAATGGTAGCTATGAGGACCTTCTTAGACAACAGAAGGTATTTCAGGATTCCAGAGAATACTCGCAAGGCTGCCCAGGCTACTATTGAGGCATTGATTCGCAACGGCCTTGACCCCGATTCAAGCGACATCTTCAAGCTTGCTGAACAGAAGTATACGAGCAATGATGGTAGCATCGTGGATGACTTTCCAAAGATCTTCCAGGAGGCTTTGGAGTTTGTCAAAATTGTCAAAAGCCTCTCTCGGGTGGCTCTAGCAGCCGACGATGTGCCACCTCTCTACCGTAAGGAATACCGTAGTATCCGGAACATCGCCACGGAGCGGAAGGACCGGTTCACGAGAATCATGCTCAAACAGGGAGTGAGTGAAACAAATGCACTAGCCATGCAGGATGCTGCACAGAGGTTAGATTGCTGGAACGAGCATTTCTGGCTCACAGTCATGGAGGCTCGTAGGAGCAGGTTTACCTTCCAACAAGAGCCGCGCGGACTCGAGGTCACGCCGGGCGCAGACAGACAAAGTAAGAATACTAACAACCTAACCAGTATTTTCAACCTGGAAGATCCTGTCTGCGAGACCTGCTGCTCAATCACGAGTCTTGCGGCCTATTTTGCGGACCTGTTAGCGTTGCTTAGAAACACCCGATTCGAAAGCCCCGAGGGGTCCCTCCTTGGCGTTTTAGCCAAGCGTCGCTCAGATCTACAAGACCTCCAGCTCACATGTGCCAACTCGCAAGTGTTAATCCCTTATATTGCTCTGGTCAACGAAGTGCTCGAGTCGTATATCCGTCAGCTACATGAGACTTCGGGGGAAGACTTTCCCATCCAAGTCTACAACACGCCAGAAGGCACGGAGACACTTGAAGAATATGGACACTCGGATATCCCTGTGTATCTACCTGGAACAACCGATGAATCTGTTTACAATAGCATTATTTCGCAGCAGATGTACCCTTTCTCGTATTTCCCGTACGAAAAGGCTCGGGACCAAGTGACGCAGATCCTGGGCCACTTCAAGGTACATACGCTTGATGTAGTCGAACGGTTCCGGTTGGACAGTCGTCTTCTTAAGGATATTTTGCCGAACCAGCAACAGGGGCCGGATATTGCAGCCGGGCTTCGAGGGGGTGTAGAGGAAGTTTTCCAACGACAGAGCGCTGCAGAAACGATCGGCATACAGCAGGCTGAATTTTCTATTATCACTGGGGAGACGTTCTTCCCACCTTGGTTTGCGGACCTTCTAAACGGGTTGTCAGACGCGAATCGGAGCGTGAAAGTCCTGTCCGAGTGCCCTTGGACTGCCGCGCAGCTATGGGGCTATGCGACAGCAACAGACATGATCAATAAAGAGAGTGATACTCGTCTTTCTCTGATCAAATCTGAGCTCATGCCCCGCTCCGGTTTGGGATTTCAAGAAATTCTCGACTTGGTGAAGACCCAGAGCTTCGGGCAGGATTTGGTGATCGTTAATAGGAATGGCACCCCAGACTTCAAAAGCTCCCTCGACGATCTGTTGCTCCTCGCCAACGCATCTGACCCACCGTTCGTCGACTTGACTGCGGAGATATGCTTCAACCTGCAAGCCTTTTTACGCCTCAAAGCGAAGTTGAAATGGGCGACCAGAGATATCGATGCGGCAATAGTTTGTCTGCGTGCGCAGGAGACGCAGACGGCCCCCAGCATGTACCAACCTCAGGCTTCGAACTTCTTCTCTATCTCTCCCTATGTATTGAAGAGCATTGCTTCCATCCTCAAAATCAGTTCATTATGTGGTATGGAGCCTGCGTCACTGCTACCCCTGTGGGGGGCTATCGACTCCTACGGCGAGAGCTCGTTCCTCCATCGCAAATTCTTCACTCCATCCATGGGCCTTGTCTCCCCGATCTTTGCACCACCAACAGGCGATCGGTACTTCGTGATTGAAGGTGAAACGGTGCCTCATAGTAGTGTAGACGGCCCGCTGTGCACCTGTCTGGAATGGCCCATCGAACACTTTCCAAAGCTTCTACAAGTGGCAGGCCTGGAAGATGACGGACTTGATCTTAGTGTGCACACGTTCACCATCCTGTACCGATATACCACAATATGCCGAATGCTTTCAGTCCCACCCGAGCACTGCGAGATATTTTTTCAGCTCTTTTTTGCAAACCCAGGGGTTGATAATGAGGAATATTCGAATCCGTTACGAAGCCCTGCTGCAACCCTAGCTACAGTTGAGAAATGGAAGAGATTGATAGATGCAGGGTGGACCGTCGAATCTCTGCATCGAGTGATACTGGGTTCGCAAGAAAGCGCAAAGTCAGAATTATCGGTCCGGAACGGGCTACAGATAACCTCTTCCATATTGCAAGGTGCTAGAGAGATCCGTAACTCATTTCCATTTCTATTTGCGCAAGCTCTGCCAAGTAGTGATAACATAGCCGAATGCGCCGCTCGCATATTCGATGCGGCAACTGCAAGGCAGGTTGCCGCATTCATTGAGGGTAAGCAAACAGCGGAAGTTGAACTTGACACAGTCGTGCTAATAGCGTCCGATACATAGAGACACAAGTAAATACTGTGACCGTACCCTTCACCACTCTCGACGAGCTCAACTGGATCAAGGACGAATCCACCAAATGGCCAAGCAAGCTGACATTGAACCAATCCATGGCTGGAAGCGGCTTAAACGCAGTTCTATGCCTCCAAGGATTGTTAAGACAGCAGGATAGGAAGCGCCTTGAGAGTGCCTGCACGGTGTTGGACAAATTCAAGGAGGCGCTTCAAGTTCTTTTCCAGCAATCTCTTGCGGCAGGGGAGATCATCCGCGCTCGGTTTGAAAGCAGCAAGATGTCCCATCTGATTGACGCTCTGCTCCTCGATGAGGACGAGCCAGAAGGCCAGGAAGCTGAAACGAGGGCCAGTGATGCGAAGGCCACACATAACAGACAGATGATAGTGGCTGAGGGAGTCACACGTAAGAGACGAAGCTTGTTTATCCGGCTCGCCTGTCCAACAATAATCTCGGATCTCATGGAAAGCCATATTGTTATGACAATGCAAACCGTGGCGCAGGGCTCGAACTTGGAGTTACTCCCAACCCTGCTCTCGAATGTGGTTCGATCCCAAGGCAAAGATCAGGAATTCGCAATGGCCACGTTACAACGCCTGAGTAACTCGGAATATGCGCCAGAAGTAAATACCATGGATGTGTACTTCACGCCTAATGTAACAGACGATTTTACATTCATCTTTCTCAAAGACAGTGGCCACCAGCCTATCGCACCGGAACTTACTATTAATGGGATTAAAGTAGGGTTCGATAACAACTTCCGCACAGCAACGTCTGTTCGGATGTCAAGTGGCCAGACATACCGTCTGTTCAGTAATTTCCCGGCTACACAGCTACATTGGGCAACGCCAATGTCCATTCCTGCGTCGTTCAGCCATGGCATGCTCTTACCAGTGCACAGTGTGAAGGTTGCGGAGGATATCACGAAGGCACTCGGGCGTGCTGTCGTTGCCTGCGAAACATTTGAACTCACAGTTGAGGAGCTGCGATATTTCAGCAAGGCTGATCCTGGCGTGACACCAATGCTGATTATTGACTTAAACGCACCCACGCTAAATATGCTTGTTGAAGTTGAGCGTTACCGTGAATTCACGAAAGAATGTCGGCCCCGGTCTCGCGAGGACCGACCAATCGAATTACTTCAGTGGCTGTCATCAACTACTGAGCCCAAAAGAGAAGAGATAGTTGCTCGAATTGCGGCTTGTACCGGATGCGATCGAGCTCGATTGCTCGATACGCTAGATGAAAAGCACCCAGAAGACCGATTTCCAGACAATAAGCTCATTGGGAGCTTGCGAGATTTTAAAGAGCTTCTCGATATTCATCGGATCATGCGTATCGACAGTCGACTTGGCCTAGCGGCGGGCATTGATTCACAGCCGTCAATCTCCACTCTATTCAACATTGCACATGCCCGCTACATCTTTACTGTAGAGGAAGAGGCAGAGGCTGCACGCAGTCTGGGGGCGAGACTAACGCCAGAACAACGAGCAGCATCTGACAGAGGCCTAATGGAAAACCAGCGCAACGCCCTTGTCTCGTATCTTCTGCAGCAGAAGCAGATACGGGATCTCGGCATCCATGATGCCGACGGCCTCTTCGAGCATTTCTTGATTGATGTCCAAATGGGTCCACAGATTCGAACGTCACGCATCAAACAGGCCATATCAGTAGTGCAGCTATTTGCTCAGCGATGCCTGCTCGGTCTGGAGAAGGGTGTGCCTAAGAGTGTCCTGAACCGCGAGCAGTGGGAGTGGCGCCAACAGTACAGTCTGTGGGAGAGCCATGTCAAGATATTTCTGTATCCCGAAAACTGGTTGGAGCCGGGCCTCCGAGACGACAAGAGCCAATTATTTGAGGAGTTGGAAACTAGCCTGATGCAGAAGAGCCTTAGTCTAGACACCTTTATTCAAGGCATCAAGACGTATGTCCATGGTCTCAGTGAAGTATCCTCTCTCAAAATCATGGCCTGCACCCATGAGCTTGGGGACCGTGCTGCTGATATCTTCCACTTGTTCGGTCGCACACGTACCTCGCCTTACATGATCTTCCATCGCACATTAACTGTTCTAAGGCCGCAGACTGCAGGTGTATTCTGGCGGCCATGGAGGAAGATTGAGATGGACATCCCTTCAATCGAGGCAGAATGGCAAGGGGAGAGCCTACAGATCAGTGGCTGCCATCTCATACCTGTACATTCTGGAGGTAGATTGTATCTATTCATCCCCCATATAATACCAAAGACCGCCCCGGGAAACAACCAGACCAAGGTAAGTAAGTCAGGCAGCAGTGATACCTCTGACAATGCGGAGAGCAAGGCAGCTCAGCCCAGGCGCTTCTGGGAGATTACAATGGGTTGGACGGAATTTTCCAATCATAGCTGGACGCCCAAGCGCGTTGCAACAGGCAGTATAGCTCTGGACTACACGAAGTCAAAACCAAACGAGCTTCGATTTGAGCCCAAGTTTGATCCCGACCGGGCTAGTAGCAGATTAGTGCTCGTCGTGGGCTATCCAAGTGAGAAAGGGCAATATAGCAGAATTGGCGGGTTCAGCTTCTGTGAGGACCAAATGGTTGCCATTCCCACATCCGCCCTTGGCGGCTATAGAATGACAAATAGTAAAGGTACTCCAGTCTTCCAGAAAGAAACAACTAACCTCTCACCAAATATCGAGCCCGACACTCCTCTGGCTAAAAAAAATGAAGGGCCACTTATCTGGTTGCCAAAGCCGTTTGTGAATCGTAACTCATCCACTACTGATAGCAAGAAAGCCAAGTCTATCTCATGGACACTATCTTATGAACGAGAACAGGCGCCCATCGGCCTCGTGTTCAGTGCACAGAGAAGTGATGGGACAAGCATTAGCTATTTCAACTTCCCTACAGCGCAATATACCGCTGACACCTACTGGGAAAAGCAAGGCCGTAGCGAAGGAATGAGTATGGTAACACTGGATCACACCTTTTCACACGATTTGACGCGTGCCATTGCCGTTAGATCTGATCCTCTTAGCCAACTCTTTGACACACTTCGTACACAAACGCTTACGGTACCGGAGACATTCGGTCAGGATAACTCATCACTTGGTGTCGTCGAGCCCGATAACGGTACCCCCAACAAAGAGCCTACCAAGAAAAAGGCGGGTATTATTGGCGGGGCTTACCATGAGCTTGCGCAACCCATGGCTCTCTATAACTGGGAAGTAGGACTGCATTCAGTTCTGCTTGCTATGGATCGTTTTTTCGCTACTCAGCAGTTTGAGGCAGCACTCCAGGTTGCGCGTCTTGTGTTTGACCCCACTGTAGATGTCAATGTCAAAGGAGCTTCAGCTTCCAACCCTCATGTTCAAACCCTGAGTTGTTGGAAATTCCCACCTTTTCAGGAAATTGCCTGTAACATGAGCCAAAAGCGCGGGGTGAGCCTGAAAGTTTCTGACATTGCCAAGGATAGTCATTTCAATCTAGCAATTATCGAACGGCGCACTCACGGAGCATTGGTGCATGCTACAGCGCGTGGTCGGCCCGAGGCGTACATGAAATGGATTGTGATGAAATACGCTGAAATCCTCATTGCTGCTGGGGACGCGCACTTTCGCCGGTCTACCCTGGAAAGCTTACCATTGGCGATTCAACGGTATGTTGAGGCATTACACATTCTAGGCCCCGAGCCCCCAAAGGTTCCAAAACTAGGCAAGAGAAAGGCATCAACGTTCCGGGAGCTCAAAGAAGAGGATACAAATCTAGAACTGCGGCTTCCTTTTTCCCCTCAAGCTGTCGAAGGGGCCCCCCAAAGACAGGAGGGAGACAGAAGGCGAGAGAAGATAGTATGCTATCTACGTACTACGTACTTCTGTGTGCCGATGAACCCCAAGTTCAAAGAGCTCAGGACTGTTGTTAACGAGCGGCTCTACAACGTAAGGAACTCATTGGATATCCAAGGTCGTCCTGTCACATACTCACTCATCGAGCCCCCCATTGACCCGGCCGACTTAATCGCTCTTAGTAGCCAGGGGCTGAGTATGTCTGAAGCTTTGGCCGCAGTAGTCGGGGAGCAAGACAGCCCCCTACCCCGACAGAGATTTTCACATCTACTGCAGCAGGCGTTAGAGTTATGCAACGAGCTTCGTGGTCTGGGCGAGCGTTTGCTTTCCGCTGTTGAGAAAAGAGAAGTTGAGGCATTTAGTGCGCTGCGGGCGCGTCATGCAACGGCCATTCACAACATGATGCTGGATATCAAAAAGACACAACTCACTGAAGCCCAAGAGATAATTGACTCACTACAGATCAGTCGTAGCTCTCATGTGTCGCAGCTAGAATTCTACCTCTCCCTTATTGGCGAGCCAAAGGCAACAGTGCCATCTGAAAAGGATTCCTGGGTTGATATAGCTCAGGATATAGATAAAGTTACAACCGATGATCTGCGGATGTCTCCCATCGAGAAGGCAGAGATGGATTTAACAACGGCCTCTGGAGCATTGAACACCGTTGCTTCTGGGATTGATGGATTGGTTGCTCCGATATTCGCTGTCCCTGACTTCCAAGCGATCACAGCGCCCATGGGTGTCGGTACCAGCGTTGGAACGGGGGGTTCAAAGATCGCCCAAGGAATCTCAGCAGCTTCCACATGCATCAAGTTGGCGGCTATGATATGTGATATCAAAGCAGGCCAAGCCGCTCGAAAAGCGCAGCTCACTAAGCAGCTCCAGGAACGTCGGTTCCAGGCCAACATGCATGGCCGGGAAATAAAAGCCATTGACAAGCAAGTTGAGATTCAGAAGACCAGAGTAAAGGGGATGGAGCGAGAGATCGAGCTTCAGGAGTCTGAGGTTCAGGAGGCTGCGCAAATTGAGCTGTGGTATAGGACCAAATACACGAATGAACAGCTCTATAGCTGGATGGAGAAGCGACTTCGCGGTCTTTACTACCAGGCATACACATTGGCCATGAGCGTTGCACGAAAGGCTGAGAGTTCCCTTGCCTTCGAGCAGGGCCGCAGAATTTCGGTTCTTCGCCACGGTGGTTACTGGGATGCCTTGCACGACGGGTTATTGAGCGCAGACCATCTTTATCTTGACCTCAGGCGGCTTGAGGCCGCTTCACTTGATGCCGACAAGGACAGCTTCGAAATAACAAAAACTATTTCTTTGAGGCAACTTGATCCTTTAGCCCTACTGACACTACGCCTGACGGGAACAACAACCTTTGTGCTTAACGAAAGTCTGTTTGATAGAGACTTCCCTGGCCATTACATGAGGCGGATTCGGTCCATAGCTGTGTCGGTGCCCTCGATTCTCGGTCCATCCAGTAGTATCAATGCCACCCTGAGGCTTCTAAGCCATCAATACCGTGTTTCGTCAACTGTGTCTAAGGCAGCTGATTATGCAGCTCAAAACAGGGAATCCTTTCGAACAGATAACCTCCCCATTTCAGCCGTTGCCATCAGCTCTGGTTCACATGACGCAGGAGTGTTTGAGCTCTCGTTCTCAGGCCGCGATTACATGCCATTTGAAGGAGCAGGGGCAGTATCATCCTGGCGCCTAGATCTTCCAAAGATTCGGCAATTTGATTACGAGACCATTAGCGACATCGTTTTGCACATGCAGTACACAGCACTCGAAGGAGGTGCCTTGCTCAGCGCCGTCGCGAGTGAAACAGTACAGAACGCACTCCAAGCCAAGGACAAAGTGGGCCATAGCGATGGTTTCTGGTTCATGTGGGATCTCAAATCTGATTTTCCCAGCGAGTGGTATCAATTTGAGTCCAAGCTTTTAACCGACAGGAAACCCGAGGGTAATGGCATTCGAGCAACAATGGAACTAGGCAATCTCAAAGACCGTTTGCCTTTCCATTCCCAGCAACAGGCGAACCTGAAAGTACGAAATCTTATCTTCGCTTCAAGTAGCCAGTCTCTAGTTGAGGAGCTCCGCATCAGTGATGTTACCACTCCAGATAAAAAGGGCACCCAGCCTAAACCACTTGGGGAGAACTTCACCATGAAAAGTTGGAATGAATTAACAAAAATGACAGACTTGAACGGATGGAAGCTTACAGCGCCTTCCAGTATAACAGATGTGAAAAATGTATATATGTTGATGCGGTATACGTATAGCTGATGCTGGGAGGTCAGCAACTACAGTGTTTTGAGTTATTGATTGGAGACTTTCTTCTTGCTGTTTTGATATTTTTATATTATTTTGAAACTGCTTAGCTGCCTCCTTCGCCCCACAATCCTTCTCTTTCCGTTACTTCTTTTATACTGTCTCTTAAAATCTTAATTCTTTTTAAGATACCCTAATTTTCTTCCTCTTCTTACTAAAACGCTGTTTCTCTATCTTATTCTGTTGTTAATAAAGCTTCTCTTTCTCTTTTAAAGCCTTAGTAACCTATATAGCTTACTTTCTTTACTGTTTAAAGCTCTTAAGCTTACTGGATCTTCCTTAGAAGTAAAATACTGCATATCTATCCTTAGACTTTTGTAACGTAAATATTAAAGACTTTTCCTTTTCTTATTTAGAAGAGCTTTCTCAAGTCTCTTATAATATAGCTTAAGAAGAGTGTTCTATACAGTAAGCTTATAGAAATTATACTCAGCTTCTTAGTATTTTTATTATTTATATTAGCTACAATATATTTTAAAGCTGCACCTCACAGGTTCACCGACTACATTTGGTCTGGCAGGTAGAGTCGATTGCGGCGATCGCCGCAGCCCAGGGCCTGCTGAATAATTTCCTGAAAGACGACATCATGGACGAAGGCTACGTAACTATGTTCTAGACACTCAATATCTCTATTTACGTGGGGAGCGGCCTCGGCCAGAACAAAGTACCCTCCAGTCAGCATAAACATATCTATCTCTACCAGGGCGCACCAGATAACCAAAATATAATATCGCTTGAGGCATCCGGGGACCAGATCGAGAGGTTGCCTGCTATCCGAGACAAGCAAGGCAGGACAGTGGTGATGGGTAAGGGCGACCGACTTTCCCAGGTGGATCACGTGCTGGCCTTCTCGGACCAGAGACTATTGAACATTTTCTCTTCCACTGTCATTGGTAGGAAGAAATGCGTGGGGAAATAAAATGACTGATGAATCAGCAGTACAGAAATCTAACCCATGCTCTGGGCGGCAAACCAAACAGCGGTTAGTAGACTCACGACAAGGGAACAGAAATAGTATATGGATTCCAAACATGGACATGGTCAATGCTATACTTCAATTTGTTAAGAAAACTGGAAGACTTTACAAAGACGACTGAATCACCATCAGAGGAAAATGAAGGTCACGTGTATATAGCTGATCATGTCAGGATAGGCTAGCTCAGAAGGCTACATGCAGCCTAAGGCCGCGCACAGCCGGAGGAAGAATAATAATAATAATAGTGTCAAGCCGCAGGTCTTATGCCTGAGGAGCTAAAGACCCATCAACTGCAGTGTCTTCCCCATCTCCATTTTCTGGGCACCGGGTACAATGCCTCCATGGGCAACACAGACTCCAGGCTGCTGAAGAACTTTAGCTCCTTCCGAGCGGTGGTGGACGGTAAACCTGTATCTGGATGGTCTGGATTTGTTAACCCCAAACAAGTACTCTGCCTAATCCTTGTATGCAGACATTGGTCCTGACCTCCAGAACTCCCTCGTGGATGAATATGTAAATGAAAATATCCAACTGATAGTGAAGTGTATTGGAAAATCTGACAATATCAGTGTGAAAGCAATGCTCTCTTTCAGGACCGCTGGGTATCTTGCCTATCTCCTAATAAAGCCAAGCGGCTATAACAGCTTACTTTTAATAACAATAAATATCTCCATACAGTATTTGATACATTACATATGATTCCTAGACTGTAGAATAGAATAAGTCTTGGATCTTTAAATAGTTTAATAATATTAAAGTGTAATGAAGTTAGTCTTCCCCTATAATGCTTGTAACTTTGTTTTACTGTTCTTGCTAGGAGATTATTCACTACTTGAGACATGTGAAGAATTTCTGGATAACCCATATTAACTATAATTATGCCCAGATGGCCTTGATTAGTCTCTATACAATAGATACTCTGCAGCTGTATGCACCTCGGGCCTCTAAAACTGATTGGATGTTACGGGACGAATAGATTGTTCTAACCTAAGCGTGCCTATTGAACAAGAAGAAATAGCTAATTGACAGGAATAACGCGTCGTACGAAATATTTGTGGGGTAAAAGCTTGGCAGCGGTGCCTTAGGCAGAGCTTCCCATGATATAGGGCTGCCTGTAAGTCAGTCCCATAACATTGGAAGACTGTAAAAGGCAAAATCCTTGGTAATAAGGCTTTTGCTATCTTCAGTCAGTCTGAACACGCTGCTATTTGGGAGAGATTACAGTATCATAAAGAGTACAATAGCATAGTCCTATCAGTTGATACTTTTTTACGTGATAAGATATATTTTGGAGTTTGTGCTCATGCCGTGAAGTGGCTGGTCACTGTAAATAAACAGCATCTGACAGTTCAGAGTGTACTAGTCTAAAGCTTTTTACTCTATAGAGCTAACAGTGATTTCCTGATCCATATCTCTAAAACTATCTTTTACTAACAGTATAAATCCAAGGCCGAGTATATATATTCTGAATACTGTTAAATCTGGATATGTATAATATAATATTATCCAGACATGGCTAAGGATATCCTGAATAGTAAATAAAAAACTAACCCCGCCTGAGTAAAGGCCTGAGTAAAAGTAGATAAGAAAGTGGTCTATAGTATGGCTGCTCTCGCGCGGAAGCTGGGTTTCTGGATACTGTAGATTAAGACAATCTTGAAGAAATTACCTGACTAACAGGATATACAGGCTGCCTTGTATAAAGCTTATAAGCCGGACTACTATTACTATAATAAGGAAACTTTCAAGTGTCTTGTTAATTATATTGTTGATTATTTTATGCTTATAATTCTGAATAAAAATTCGCCGACCGCGGTGTTTATCGCTTACCGCGGTGTTTATCGCTTGCTGGGTTTCCAAGCTAGTAGACTGCTATAGAACATAACATCTCGCCAGGTCCGTGACACAGCTGCTGGAAAATGTTAGGGGGGATAGACAGCTGATTGAGGAAAAGATTATATAGGACAGCTCTTCAGTCTTAATAGTTGGTTGGTAGGCCGACGAGGTCGCAGGAGCGTAGATAGATGACCCTAGGGGTCTTACCTTTGCGGTGGCTGTTGGTTGGCGGTCGTGGGATCATGTAGGTCATACGACCGTGGTTGCAGCATCTACCTGGCCAGGCGCTTATGATCTGACGTCTTGGGTGCGACAACAAAGAACCTGCGCCCCCTATCATACTGCCTGGATCGTCTACCTCATTGCCTACATCCCTGGGCCCATGGTCCTGTCTTTCGCACCCCCTGAATCTTTAAACTACAGGCCCTCGTCCGTAATCGACGTAGATCCCTGATTGATCTCCAATGCGGACTCCAGGCCCTGCTAGCCTTACGCCTGAGGGTCTCGGTCCCAGGGCCTGCATAGTTCTATCTAATGTAACCCTAATGCATCTCATGAAGTCACAGAAGTTAATACATGTATGTAATACAGATGAGTATCTGCGTGTTTACTAGTGTTATTACTACTAAATGCACTGTCTCCAGTACGTCGGCTGTTTGACGTGAATACGTATATAGACATTAGAGCCAAGTGTAGGTTCAGACAAATTCCCTAACCACGCGCACAATGCCTGGCATAGTATCTGGCTCCCCAGTTCTGCGGACACTTATCTCCAGGACCAGTGGGGTTTTTCCTCAGCCGATGGTCTATTTATAACTAGGGAGACGGCTGCAGTCCAATAATCTGTCCTGCGGCAAGCCTGCGGACGCTAGTGCCTTGTAAGCGGGGTGACACCACTCATTGACATGAAGAAAACTTTGTCACATCCTCATCATTTTATGAAGTTCTGCCTTGTGTGTCCACCCTTGATAAGCGCATTAGAAAGGAGTCCGTGACAATAACATCAAGTTCCATCGGAGTACCGAACTTGGAAAACCATGGATCCTTTTCAACTAGACGATTTTTAGCTAAGGGAATCTGTAGTAACACTATACTAGAGCAGTTGCCTCTGCATTTGCATAACGGTTTAGGGAAAAACCCCAAATTTAGATGGGGGAGAAAATGCCCAAATCAAGGCAGTGCAGCATCAACATGCGAGACATTCAATATGGGGCAGTGCATGACCCGAAACCGCGATGCTTAGTCGCATACCCAGGCTTGAATAATGAATTGACTGGAAAACTAGATCTTGTTTCACCAGAAGGAAGAAGGAGTTGTGGGCTGTACGGTGAAAAGTCGAATGTTTTAAGACCAGATCCGGGGCCGTAAATTTCGACAGTAACGGGAGCTCGAGGTGCTACCACAGAAAGAGGAATGAATAACTCACAGTACAGTACAAAAGAAGTGGTAGTGAGTGTTTTTTGGATTGCATCATGTACTTCCTTATTGTCCATGTTGGAGACATGCACATTTGCTTCCAAGTGATTTGGTTTGATGCGGTTAAAAGATGTTTTCACTGAAAGGTCGACACGGAATTTTATCACAAATTTTCGAATAATAGGCTTCCATATGAATGTCGGTCTGCTCCTTTTAGAGATATACCAGGAGCATCACTGGCTCGCGCGCCAAGTACAGAGCGGATCCCATCTTCGGTGAGCTTTGTGGATAACTTCAAAACTCCCTCAGAGAGGCGCATTTGAGACAGGTACTCTAGAGCTCGGAGTAGCCTGCCGGAAATTTGCCGATGCTCCTCATATAAGCTATTTTTCAGGATGTTCCCGATACTGTCGACTCTAACGCTCACTAGGTTATTGGCCACAGCATTATCCAGGCTGGGCGCCCAATCATCGAAAGCTTTCCGATACTTTTCTAGATCGTCCGGAGCATTGCTCAAGATGATATTGGTGCTTGAGCTTCCGCCATATACCCTGGCCTGGAATTGACGAGAATTCGTGTGGTAGGCCTTGTATTCTTCGGCAGATTTCACACACGCATCTCCCTTCACGGAAGCCAGGCCATTATACTCGGCGCTTACCTGCGCCTGTAAAATCTCCTTCGATTTTGATTTTGACGATTCATTCTCCACTTTCAGTTGATATCGAGCACCGAATGTAGAGGACTTGATAACGTGGGTACCCCAACTTCGAAAGAAGCGAACATACTGACCATAAACCTCATCTTTCACTTCCCATTCTGGAAGCTGCTTTGCAGCCTCAACAAAACCTGGATTGATATTCGGATCTGTACCCTCATGACCCTCAAACTCTAGGATAGATGAGGAATGGTCCACACTAAGCATGGCGTAATATTTGTTACTGCTCAGACTACTGCTGTAGCTGTTCTGGGCAGATGCGCTTGCTGAGAATCCAGCATAGCTTGCACTCAAAGATGCACTAGTGTCAAGGTCACGGGCCATGTCCTCACCACTCTCAACATTCAGAGAATGAGTTACAGTTCTGCGGTTTCTCGTGCTCGCACAGTTTTGGGCAGCTGATAAGACTTTCTATCGGCAAAAGTTGTCTTGTAGAGATCTTGAGCAAGCTTTACTACAGTGCTTTTGTCCCCTTCAAGGGGACTCAGGTCAAAGGGATCATGCTCTATGCGATATTTGTTACACGCGTCAGTGAGCTAGTTTATTGGAACCCCTGTTTAAATACAGATGAAGGAAGTAGTAATCAATGGCAGCAGGGGAATAGATCTCAGTGTATAACCTTGAAAGAGAAGATGCCTAACCTTTAGGAATTAACGAGACACTTTGACCGAGCAAGATGACGTCATTGAATATATCGCCCTCACTGGAGGCCATTTTCACTGAAAGGTAAAGTACTAAGGAAAATAATCACGGAAAGTCAAGTCACGTAGCTTGGAGAAAGTTAAGCAGCTGCGATTGATGGTTCGTTAAGCAGGTTATCAGGCTTCATACACCTTGATATAATAGATATATTAAGAAGGCAAGACTGGCCATTTCGTACTGTCAATTTTATTGGCATCGTTTGGGAAATGACACTGCTGATCACACCTGGCCGCTTCATGTACACGCTGGCAAGAATGCCACGTCAGAATCTTCGCAAATTTATAGATAAGACCAATGAAAAAATGAAGATCTACCACTGAGTTATAGGCAGGCCTGCAGGCCAAATGAAAATTTATAGGACAAGAAAGAATAATCGAAGTTGCAACTATCTAATTATCCTATCTAAAACTGAAGTTGCAGCACAGGTGCCCACCCACCAACCGATTAATAGTGTGATATGGTTCGCCTTCTACATGACGCAATCTTAAGTCTCCTTTCTCTGTTAGACAATAAGTTATTTGACAGGGGAATAAATAAATTAACTAATAAATCTACACTTATGTGCAGCCATCAAGTTACCAAAGCAAGATGTCAGCTAAATTTTCTGAGTGCTTCTGTCAATATTTGATTCATTAGTTCTCTCCCGATGTAAAAAAAGGACGTATTTGGGGAACAGTAGTATATAAATATATTAAAATAAATATGACCGACCAGGTTTAAAGATACGAAAACCCCAGCAAGTTTGTTGAAAAAGAGTACTATATGGACAATAAAATGAGTTGAAATGGACCCATCCACTTGATTCAAGATACTACAGGATCCGATTCATGGGGCTTTCGAAATAGGGACTCTCATCTGACCAAGATTCCCAGACCCCGTCCGGGGGACACACCGAGCAGAATCGAATGCAGAGATTCACTAGTGTGTGAAATCTCCTACCGCTATCGTCCTAATCCCATTCAATATCCTTCTGCTTTCTACTGTTATTGACTAAATCTAGTCTAATGCTTCCTCTGCCATTCTATAATTATACAAAAATCTTATAACTATTCATATAATCTACTAATATTATTTATAGAATTTTATTATTATCAACTAAATCTTACAACGTCTCACTATCTTCTATGATGATAAAATGTACTAGACTAGGGATTATAACAGTACAATAGGCAACAGGGAGTATGTAGGACTATAAAAACTAGGACAAAAAGGGTGGTACATATGTGGTATAAATGTTAGGGTTACCAAGTACTAGGTATAGTGATTCTACTGGTTCTTTCCTGGATCATTTTTGGGCGTGAGGGTAGGCAAGAATCGCACGAGCTTGGTGAGAACTCCCACCCTGACTTGGTCTGCCTTTGATAGCCTGCACCATATACCTCGATATACTGTTGGCAGAGGATTCCGGCTGGCAGTTCCGATTAGGCCGGCAGTAGGATGATCCGGTCAGTACGCGGAAATAAGTCCCACTGTGAGCTTTAGCGCTCTAGATAGTTCAGATAGGTACAAATAGGTACAAATAGAATCATGAGGAGAATGAGCTCCATATACTGCCTCAAGCTGAAGGTATGTGGCCTGGGCGCGACCGATCTGTCCGCGTAATTGCCTTCGCTAGGCAATAAAGCATGACTATGTATGGAGTAATAAGTAGTGGCTGGCTGAGTGCGGATGATAGTCACGCATCTTCCTATATGAGGAATATGGGGAACGGCCTGCATGTTGTGCGGGGTAAGATCTTTAATAAACTAAATTTCATTTTCAACGTCAGAAGTACGCCATTTGCAGTGGGTGATATGTCACACGCAGCTAACTTATGCATCTAGGCTACCTTCCGGGCTATTTTTTTAAGTATGTTTAGCCTTGTATATTGTTACAATGCAGATAGTGGCTGCGGGCACAATGTGGAGACAGCAAAGAGTCGTATATGTGGAGTCTATTCATTTGGCGAGGTGTACGCACGCTAGTATCTAATTTATTTTGAATGGATGGTAAGCTATCTCTATAAGAATAGGACTCTAAAACATACAGGATGATTGATTTGAACTAGGTTATGCTCTGCCCCACATCCTTAGTTCCGTCTGGTGTCCATTACAGCAATAAAAAAGAAGAATAGATAGTAAACATGGAAATCCCTCTTTATAATAGAGCTGAAACCCTGACAAGTGTATGGATAATCCTCTAATATATTAGAATAGAGTTTTGCTAAGGGACTTACGATTTCTCTATCTAGAATCTATAAGAAATTATTTAAATAAGGTAGATAAGTTATTAAATAGATCTTGTTTCTCTTACAGGAATTTATAAACTTTACAGTAGTATAGAAGCTATAGCCATCTAGAATTAGAAGTCTCTAATCTCTCTTGGCTTTATCTTTTATCTCTCTATTAAATATACCTCTAAACCATGCAAATCCCAGCTTATCATTACTCTATTTAGTAGTGAAAGAGATAAAGAAACACTGTTACTGGATTGATTTATTGTCCTGAAGCAAGGTATCTTTAAATACATCCTGGTAGATAAGACCTGGATATAATATGTCCTCTCTATATAGATATAAGCAATAGTAGTATGTTTCATTAGACTTGCAGATTAGTTTGCCCCCGTCTAGTCTTTGGATGAACTAGTGCCATGTGGAGAAAACTGTAACGGCAGTGGCACAGAGTATAAATATGAAATCAATATAACCAAGGATGGCGACATCTGCGAAAGACTGGAATGGACAGTAAGAGAAGGATGATGACGGAGGAGACACCAAAGACGAGGAAGCAAATTTCGCTGTCCGTAATATGCTTAAATGCGATGGTACTCATCAGGCAGTTTGGGCCTGTGGCAATAATTAGCTGAAGGATTAACATTGAAGTACATATTTCATAGCCAAGGCGGCCAAACGCCAAATAGCCGGCATCAACATGGTGGCACACATCGAGAAAAGCAAGCTTTACTTGACAACGTGTATATAGACAATGCACCAATGCCAACACAACATATACTGCCGGCAAACATACCAAGTGTTGCAAATGCGGAGAGTATAGAAAAGGATCCCAGAGCGATAGCTTAGCCGATTAATATACTAATCAGTTGTTTCCATCCGAGCCGGTGATATCGTATTTTTCCTCCCCCGCAACTATAGTCTGCTGCTCAATGTCGTTTGGATCCTTGCTCTAAACTTTCCAGTAGAATTGGATACGGTCGATAGAGAAGATCGAGACTGCGGCATACCCAGATTGAACGGCTGGTACTGTCCAGTGCGACCAAGACCCAGGATTGCGTTCGTTAGCTAGCTGGGGTGGGTATAATATAAACAAATGAAGCCAGGAAGTTAATAATTTGGAACAAAATTAAAAGAGGCGCCTGTTATCAGTACATATGATAATGTCACAACCCATTTGGGGAAGAGAAGGCGTCTATCTAACCTTGAGCGTACCAGATAACGACAATATATGAAAAGGTCACAGCGGCGAAGAATTAATAGAGGCAATAGCCATGCCCTTTGCCGTAAGTTTGCGCAATCGATATTAAACATCAAAGTTCCCTTTTCCTTTGTCTTAAGTTAAAACTTGACTGCTCTCAATCGGTATTAGCCTTCAGTTAAGCTCCCTCACGATTCCGAAAGCAACATAACCCTCCGCAGTGGGAGGTTGACATCATCCTCTCAATCCATTAGTGGGCCGACTCTGCTGTGCCTAGTCGCGCAACACCTTCCTCACGCATATTTTTGACCATTGAAAGTCTTGCTAAGCCTTAGCAATCTTCCGGCTTTAACCTCAGGCCTCTTGTAGTATGGTTGGTGAAATATATCAATCCCCCACAACACAGATTATACGAGGTTTATGTCGTTATGCAACTGCGCACAGTAATCCACTAGTGTTTACATTACATCAGGCAATTTGAGACAGTGGCAAAAGTTAGCAGATTGGTGAACATGGACGTACATGATTCATGTTCATGGCGGCCAACATCAAAGGCGTCAGCCTCATTGTAGGGGCGAACAGCAGAAAAAGCAAAGAATGTCTCTTGTTGTCAAGGACCCCTCGGGGAGTTGAAGACTGTCTGTGTCTTAATTATTCCCCTCCCCAACGGCAAGAATTAACAGCGTGAGCCGTGGACTTATCATTGAAGCCTAGAACTTCACTGAAATGAATATTTTTTAAGCCTTCAGCAACTGCGGATATCTAGAACACTGCTCAAAACCTTGCTATTTGCGGCGTTATTGCCACAGCCGGCGTCGTATGCTCCGCAGCCAGCATGCCAAAGTCTCTAAAGTCCTCTGAGAAGTAGTGCCTAATAACTCATTGATCCATCTCTGTATGCACTAATTACTAGCGCAGACATTCCAGCCACAGATCCAAGTCTCTATTAGCCTGCAAAAAATAACTTCAACTCAAAAAGTATCTCCGCGGTATTATTTATTGCTTGGATCAACCCTACGCATACCGTAAAAACGTCTAGAAGGCCAGTATGTCTCTTCAACCTTATAGTGGCCAAGTACTAGGATATAAGGCCAGCACCTCAGATACCAGGAGCGCGCTGAGTTATCACCTTATATTTTTCAAGCCCTACTTTCGTTTATTGGGAGGCGCGTTGGCGCAGTAGTCTTCAGTCAATTTTACCTGTGAAAATGACAAACATAGCCCATAAAAATGTCTATAAAGACAGTACCACAAAGGGAGGGAGTAGATCGGATAGTTGGGTGGGAGTTCTGCCAGACTATGGAAGCCTTTGAAATTATAGTTTTCGATTAAAAGTATACCCACAATTATACAACGTTATTTATGACTCAATTGGCCATGGAATTCATTTGGCGGTTATACCATGTACTGAACCATAATATTACATTTAATAGTCCTGTCACATGCCTAAAATAGGTTAGCCTGTTTGGAGACTCATGATTAGCCTGAATAACTATATTTTAAGCACAAGACAAATAGCAAGCTCCTTGACTTCATATAGTTCGACTCCAAATTCGGATGGTTCTGTACTATGCGGCTGAGGGTCGTAGGAATAGGGAAATATGGTAACCAGCTATCATTTGTGTATTCTCCCGGCGCGTCTCACGTCTTTGTGTTTCTTTCCCCACGCTAGAATTCTTGATAGATAGCGCCAATAAAGATCATTTTGAGAGGCTGTCACAGATTGCGCTAGAATTGCTTTCTGGCATCCATTACCCAATATTGAAGTCATATTTTGTTTGAAGCTTATAACAGAGAACGTATTAGTAGTATCGATTTCGGTAAAGGCCCATTAACCCTGCTGGCTGGATTCCTCCTCACTGGCAATATTTTGGACGACCTTGCGATTGAGACTGCAGTCCTCAATAAACCAACATGCAATGAAGTACACATTCGCTAGGATTAAATAGAGAAAAACGACTGCGTGTAGACCTTTCATATAAACAGCGGAGACAAGCAGTTTTTCTTCTTCAGACAAATTGAGGCTTGCTAGATTAAAAGTAGATGATGTCAACTGAGAAATAAGGTCCGAGGTGAATCTGGCCTTCAGGCCACTGAATAGAACGTTACTCAGGATTGCACCAGCCACTGGAAATGGTTAGCAGAGAGCTCACAGAACCGCAAATAGTGAGAGCTGACAGCTGACATACATGTTATGCCCATAGCACCTCCGGTCTCGCGCAGAAAGTTTCGAAGTCCTGTGAGCACAGCACGATCGTCGCTGTGGGAGCCAGCTAATATCCCCACGAGGACTAAAACTCACGTGTCAACAGTCTATCAAGCTATAACAAAATTGGCAACATACCTGGCTGAAGAGAGCATCCCACTCCAATTCCATCCAGGGCCCCAGCAACCAATAGCAGCCAGCTAGGGGTGAACTGAGTGTATGTGAGTTTGGCAGCAGCCGAAATGCACCAACACGCTGCTCCGGCGCGAATAACTGTAGTGTAGCGACCACAAAACGATATGATGACACCAGTGAGAGCAGATGTGACACCATGCGTAATCACAGTTGGTAATAGAAATAGTCCCGCCTTTGCTGGGCTCCATCCTCTAATATTCTGCAAGTATAGCGGGATCCAAAAGAGGTTCCCCCAGAATACGCACCCAATGATGAAATTTACCCCTATCAGAATAACATTTGAGTGGCCATATTGAAAAACACGCACTTGAGGACGAGGATATCAGTAGATAATTTCATCTCCTGGTTTCCTACAGCAGGTAACATACTGGGCAGAATAGGTAATTGAGCAAGCCGCCACTCTATAAGTAAAAACAAACAGAGTAACAGGATTCCGAGTACCAACATAATAATGGTAATAGGTGAGCTCCACGGGAGCTCAGATCCTCCAAGCGAGATAGGGACCTTGAGCATCCTGCTATTAGTGTTTCCTTCTAAGAATAGGCATCAGGTGAATTCAACTTACCAGAATCAAAATTATAGATAGTAGGCTAGTAATGGCTCCCCACCAATCGATTAGTTTAAGTTTCTCCCATGTGTTTTTGGTCGAATATGGTTGAGGCCAGACTAGGCCCAGGTATACCACTGCAATTGCGGTTAAAGGGCTAATGAACCAGAAAGCCCACCGCCATGATAGCTTTTCGGTCAACCAGCCTCCAACAACAGGCCCTAAGCCGTTTCCAAGAGCTATGGCAATACCGATAAACCCAAAATAATAGCCTCTCTGTTCAAGAGTCGTAATATCAGAGATTCCAATCTGGACAAGCGCATTGATAGCTCCTGCGCCAAAACCAGCAAACGCACGAGTCAAATATAACTCAGCTGGTGTCCGTGAAAAGCCAGAAAGCAAGTTGCCGATACCCATAATGGTTAAGGCAGTGGAGAGACACATTCTCCGACCAAATATATCCGATAGACGACCATTAATAAGCTGGATGCCAGTACTGGAGATCAAGAAGCTGGCCCCCACCCAAGAGATAGATGCCCCAGCTTCGAGGCCTGCGGCAATAGCCGGCAGGCTGGTGGAAATCGCAGTTTGGTCCAGAAAAGCAAGGAACATACTGAAAGCCAACGAAGGGAACACAACCAACAGCTTCTTGCGCGATAGAACATGAGACTGGCAGTCGTTGAAATTGTGAATTAAGGGTGTTTCCTCATTTAAATGATCTCTTTCTAGGTCACCCTGCGCGACTGCCATCATGAACGGTTCAGAGGGTATAATCTTAGTAATTGGATTACTTTTTCATATATACCTGTATATAGGCCGACTCTTGCAGTATGCGAAAGGCTAGAAAACAGATTTCATTTGCCGAAAGGGCATGGGTCCTCTCTTTGTATCAAGCATAACGCTGTATCATTCGACAGGGCGTCTCGCGAGAACAGACTGCCAATACATTACGCCCCACGTCGCTTCACCTTGAGATTACATCATATATGATTTGGAAAGGCTCAATTCGATGCAACAGTACATGTCAGGTGAGATGTAACGGACACCACGAAGGTGGAAGGTATCCTTGTACAATATGTTAAACCACCCTGGTCGTGTAGTATTTCTGCACATTTAGGTGGACCTCGAGTTGAAATCCCTGTTCCGTGAACAGCATTTAAATCATACCATTAATATGAAACTGGAAGGCCTGCATTTCATTTTCACGTCATATACTACAAGGGTACAGTCTGTTTGATCGGAAGGTCCCCCAACAGCGGAAAGGCCATAAGACATAATTGATTGGTCTAACTCGAAATATACATCACTTAAGTTTAGGTTGAAAACCCATCTGCGGGGCAGAATATATATATATATACATATATAAGTTCAACTTCGATGGACACACTGAGAACGCCATGTGCTTTGGGAGTAAATAATCTGTCAATATCTCTCGACCAAAAATACCAGCTGATACTGGTCGTATCTTGGATTCTATATAGATGTCCTACCAACATATTCTACACAGGCTTTTATGCACACTCACTAAGATATGGCTACATGTTTGGTCTCCCTCTCCCATGCCAAGAGGTGAGGACAGTCTGCAGTGATTGTAGGGTTCGGTAAGATGGTTTCGCTGCCTTGCTAGAAAGTTTTCTGTTCATTCCTTATTTCCCGCCTTCACTCGCTTGCTTTTGCTCTTCCTTTCGCTGCAATGTGCGCACGGTCAACGTTCCGGAATTGATTTTGAGGGGATTGAATATCGGATCGGAGCTGGGGCGCTAGGCTAATCTCCTGGGAAGTAAGAACGCGGGGTTCTTAATATCGCGCTGCTTGATACCGTTCCGACCTCTGGGATAATGTATGAGGCACAAGAAGGCTTTCCGCGAAAGCAGCAGCAGCTCCAATAGGCTCATGGACAATTTTCCCTCCCTTCCTAAATGATTTACTTGCTGTGGATTCGTCATGACGTAGTCTGTGATTGGATAAATATGAATATTTACGTGGAGATAACATACGTTCTATACTCCCAAACCAGCTACCTATTGCGGCTGTCAATCCTTTCCGGATCCCAAATTCATCTACGGCATTTCAATAATAATAGACCCTGCATTTGGCAACTGTACAAGGTCAGAAAAGTCCAGACATGAAAGAGCTTACTTTTCCCACAGAAATTCGTGCTGGAGCTTATCCTTAACCGTGAGTATATGCTTGACTTAGCGTGAAAGCACCGGTGCAACTCAAATCACGACAACCCAATTAAAGCGGCGCAAGGCTCTATTTAATGAAGGCGTCGTACAATCATTAGAATGGTCATTTAGTGACCAGTCAAGGATCGCACTGGTTGCCGTGTACAACAATCATGTATAGTATGACATTCTTGCTCCCCGCTCTCCGGAGATCGATTTTGTGACTGGCTTCATAACTATGGCATGTTGAGGTTACTTATGGAACCTATGGAGTGGGCACTGTGAGCCCTTCGTGACCAGGCCATACACTGGCTTATGGAAACTGTCTACGTGATTCGGAAGATAGCCAACCATTGAAAATGTGTTACTTTCAGAATATAACTTCCTTTTTCTTGCAGTATATTGGCTGGGGTCTGTACTGATCACGGTAACCAATAGCTATGTCAATCAGGTCATAAGGCGCATTACTCGGCCAACATCGCTTCAGCGCCTAAGAATCTATACCAGATATGGTCTCAAAATCTGCCCGTATAATCTAAGACATATTCTTCCTGCGAAAGGAGGGGGCTAAGTCTGTTGTCGCTCGTCTTCGCTGCTTCCGGGTTCTACCAACCCACTTAAATATTTTGGGGACTTAGGTATTCTTGGGTTGCCATGTACAGAACCGTCAAATACGCGTAGCTTAGCGTGAACAGTAATACAAAATTCGGCTGTCAGACAAGAGGGCCGTTAAGGCACGGTGCCCAATTCTTATTTCTGCGGAGATATGTTATGGAGGGATGTTGTTCTCCCCCGATTCATTTATTTTTTCTGATTTGCAGATGCCGATCTACATTGTAGGACCTATCGTCAGTAACTAGCCATGTATCCTTGCAACCAGAGTATGCTGCTCCGTACATTCCATCAAGTGGTGTATCCTACCGTACTCTCTTCCTGTGTGCGGCGGGAACCATTCCAAGCCCAAATACCGTGACTCCAGCCGACCGCACCGCTATCTTTTGACAATTGCTTTTCCAACATCTTGGTCGGATGCAATTGGCCAGAGTCCCATAATATATGGGGTACGTCAACTAGAGCCCCTTACATTTGATGGTGAAACAAGTGCTCGTTTTGGCTGGAGGTATCTGTTAGCGTAGCGGAACGGCCATGTTGATTCGCGCAGGGTCCACACATTCGAAAAGAGAGCATTCCAAATTGCATACCAGCCACTTTGCACTGCACTGCACGATGCAAGTAGCTAAGGAGTCAGAGCTGGGTAGACGAGGGGTACGGCGATATATATTGAAATTGTTTGCATGACAAAGAGATCATCCATCACCCCCAACCTGTCTCCTCCATTCAAATCTCCCACATCAAACCCGATTGTACTGTGCGTTGAGAATCCAAGGACCTTATCATGGACTATAGGCGCATGCCGATTGAACTTGAAGCCCCTGAAGAGATGGGCAAAACTATCCGTTATAACCTATGCGAAGCCGGTGCACGTGTCAACTGCCTAGCCGATTTGGGGATCTCTGTTCCAAGCGACTTGTCCCTGAGTTATGTTCCTCATCGGGGAAGTCCCCGTTTACGCTCTCTCATTGCGCAGTCGTGGGGAGTGGATACGGATGACGTCTTACTCACTGCAGCGGCGACATCTGCACTGTTTATTGTTGTTACATCGATCCTTACCAAGGATGACCATATGGTGATGACTCGTCCATACTATCCATCAAATCTTGGAACCGCCGAGGCAATTGGCTGCGACGTTTCTTTCGTCCATCTGGATTTTGACAGAGGTTTCCAGCTTCAGCTTTCCGAACTTGCTGCTGCCATCAGGCCCAATACGAAGTTGATCAGTCTTACCAATCCCAACAACCCAACGGGGACCAGTATGTCAGAGCAGGAGCTACGCTCGGTGGTGGAGCTGGCGAAGGACCGGGGCTGCTACATCTTAGTCGACGAGACCTATGCGGAGCTTATGGGGGACAGTCGCCTTCCCAGTGCTGCAACACTAGGTGACCATGTTATCGGAGTCTCTTCTATGTCAAAGGGGTACAGCGTTCCTGGGATCCGAGTGGGCTGGGTTATGACGAAAGCTCCAGAGCTCCAGGAGAAATTCCTGGCTGCGAAAGAAGAGATGTGCATCACCATTGGCGCAGTGGATGAATTCATTGCGGAGAAAATCCTTGAGCGGCGCGAGCAGCTACTGGCACGCACTCTTTCAGGGGCGGACAAACGGCGGGATCTTGTGGATGACTGGGTTAAGTCGGACGAGATGGTCGAGTGGGTTCGACCCAATGCGGGGTTGTCAGGCTTTATACGGCTGAAAAGGGAACCGTGTGGAGGCATGGCAGCGTTCTACGATAGGCTGCTCAAAGAACATGGTGCCTACGTCGCACCTGCGCATTGGTTTGGGGAGCCGGGCCCCTTTTTTAGAATTGGGTTTGGCTGGCCAACCACTGTTGAGCTCCAAAATGGTTTAGCAGCAGTATCCAAGGCACTCCGTGGTTAGCTTGAACGGTATGGAAGACCAAAGGCCATCACCGCCTTATCTTGAAAGTAGTGTGCCATGGGAGAATGAGATAAGTGTCGGCGGGAAATAGTACATCAATGACATCAAGAAGATCTAGAAAATACCTCACTGCTGGAATCTCAAGCTTTACTTCCTGTACTACTCTCCAGGGGCAATAGTGAATATGTGGCTGCACATCGGTAAATACGGTGCGCACACCACCAAGCCAGGTAAGAAGATTGAACGGCTGGTTCATTTGACATTTTGGCCTTCGCATAAATACATGGGCGGGGCATGTGGATAAATAATGCACTATCATTCCCAAGAATACTAACTGTGATAGTAGGGTATCTGCACTCTCCAGAGGTCTCGTACTTATAACAATGGACTACATACCAGCAGGATTGCCCAAAACAACACCATCCCAATACCAGCAACGTGGAGCTGCATGGTAAGTGAATCGCGACAATGACAGCTTTGAGAACCAAGGGGACTTGAAGAAACAGCCTAGGATTGTGACTGCAACTACTGACACCGTAAATCCCATCTCGTGGTGGCTGGGATCCAGCGTAGAATGCTACAGATGCCATCAACATACCCTCTCCGGCAGTCGATGGAAATTCAGGTACGTTGCCACAATTCCGAGGACACGGTTCAAAGCGAGACAAACCCAGTAGAACTTGATTGCTAGATTTGCTCAAAGCAGAGATATGCCCCTCCCACCCATAAGGAATTAAAAAAGCCAGCGTCAACAGCGATTTCTAATCGGGCAAAAAATAGCTCGATACATTTATTATAGGCCCGAGCAACTTCCCAAAGGCTGAAATGTAGCACTGTACTGCAGCGTTTGATTCCATAGACTGAGGGTTTCTTAAGATGGCCGTTCTCTCCAATGCACTCATATGATGCCAAGTTGCGCTCGGTGGTTTTCCATCTAGGTGACATATGGCCAACATGGACGAAGGCAGACACATCACATTCCACACATGTAGCTAGGTGATAGCCCTTAGCGGCCGCAGCTTTCTCCGGAAAAGGACTACTTCAAATCCCCGTAGCATCTAGACGCCGATCAAGGGTCGACTTCTGCTGGAGACTCCAACTACCACCTGATCGGCAGCCTTGAATGGGAGGGGTAGGACCATTAAACACCAAACGCATCTAGTCTGAACTGCGCAAGTATTCTTCAGCAGACAGCTTTCTCACCGATCTGGGATGTGAATACTTCTTGATGCATCTGTGTCTAGCTGCCTCCGTCAAGGTCTATCTAACTCGGCCAATCGGAATGTTCTGCCTGAGATTCCCTAGTCCGCACCCTTAGACTGCATTCCAACGCTAGTAGTGTTCCATAAGAGGGCAATCCCCACCAGAATGCTACGTACACGGACAATGAGTTCATGGACTGAACGGTGATGTGGCGATAGGTAGACGTTACTAGGGCCCGTGTAAAATATATTTCTGCATGGGCAGTGCGATGGGCAGTGCGATGGACAGTGCCTTCAGCAATCTAAAGATGCAGAAAGGCGACAGATATATCCTTGATCCCACATATGTCTATTACATGCTACCTACTTCACATTCTTTACCCTTACAGGAATTGCCACCTGGTTTTCCGTACGCGCACCATACGCGAACAAGGGAACGAAAACGGAGTGATTAAGGAATGAGGTTACTGTAAAGAACGTAAAATACATTTCTCTATTCGTAATATTTATTTATCAACTGAATCTAGCCTCTCATAGCACCATAACGAAAAGAAAAGACAACCTAGTAGTCTTTCTCTGCTGCCTTTGCACTCAGTATGTTGCTGGAACCGACAGAGTATCTACGCGGAGTCCTCCACAAATATGTACGCAAAAACTATGCCTCGAACTACTCAAAGCCTGATCTAGACTAACTAACCACTGGACTACCTTATAAAGATTGAGGACAGAGTGGTCTTTGAAGTAACACAAACTTCAGCGCACCAGCAACACAAACCACACGTTCTTCTCTTCATCGGGGGGCTTAATGATGGCCTATTTACAGTTCCCTACGTAAAGCCACTTGCCAATGCCCTGAAGCCCTCCCCATGGTCGCTATTCTGGGTAGAGCTGTCCTCCGCACACTGTGGATGGGGCACTAGTAGTCTGAACAAGGACATTGAGCAGATTGCACAGAGCATACAGTTCATACAGAAGCTCCAAGCCTCTCGGAATCCCCCAGGAAACAAAAGCAAAGTAGTGGTAATGGGCCACTCAACAGGCTGTCAAGACGTCTTGCATTATTTACATTCACCAAACCCGCTTGGGCCCCAGCCAGGCGGTCTTGAGGATGGTCTACTACATCTAATTCGACCCGTCGTAGATGGGGCAATCATGCAAGCACCTATATCCGATCGAGAAGAACTACGCATGAACCTGGATCGGAGTCCTGACCCAGTCGATGCCTGGGCCACCTACCGAGAATTGGTGTCTCTCGCCAAATCACAGGCATCCACTGACCTCCTGCCATTGCATATGACTATCAAAATGAAATATCGGTCTGACACCGCATTAAGCAGTTACCGTTTCCTGAGCTTGGCTAGTCCAGAAAGTCCGCTGGTACCGTCTGACGACGATAAGTTCAGTTCAGATTTACCCTACCAAGTACTTACGGAGACCTTTGGTAGGATCACGAGAAATGGCTTGTTAAGGGATAAGTTGTTGGTTTTATATTCTCAGTCCGATGAGACTGTTCCAGATTGGGTGAATAAAGTTGAATTGTTAGAACGGTGGAAAGAAGCGACAAATGCTGAGGGTGTGAAGTGGGCTGATGAAAGTGGACTTATTCCAGGGGCGGGGCACAAGGTCCAGGATGAGGGACAGAATTGGTTAATTACTAGGGTGTGTTTTTATTTGAATAGGCTCGAGAAGACATGACGTTTTGTCGGCTGTAGAACGGTGAAATTTCCAATTGATACAAAGTTCGATTTCTTGCGAAGCATTTCCTATCGTTCACAATACATCGACGTATATTTTAGTATGGATCTTGTATTATTGTATACACCCATGGAATTACCTAGAGTTATACCTTATATAGGATGTCACCACAGTCTACGGGCGTTAGGGTTACGCAGCTCCCCTCCCAGTCTACTACTTATATAATATCCACTTCTCCAACGTAATCGGCAAGCACGCGGGCCACCTGGCCGCCATTTTGAAAATGAAAGCAATCAAACATCATCAATTTACATTGCTATAGAAAAATGAGTGGTTCTATCGATTCGTACAGTTCGTAATTTTATGACCCTTATATTACAGCCCGAGCACCTAGGAGGCGCGCGTTTAGGGTGTGATTCAGCAGGTAAGGGACTATCTGTCTGTATAGCTTCATCTATATGATTTCTGTGCTCTATTAGGTTTCGGGCCTCCTGTACTGATATGCCCGCTTCTAAAGCAACCTGCTTAGTAAAGCGTTTCTACCTTTTAACGTGCTTTTCATGTGCAGTCTAATATTGTTCAATTTGATACTTTAAAATTGCCACATCATTTAAAGCTCGTTTAGAAACTTCAATCAACTGATTTAGGCTATTTTTCATAGGCGAAGTTGGACTTCAGAATCGATTTTTAAGCAGCGTTCCCAGCGTAGGCCGATTTCATTGCTCATCCAGCCATTAGGGCTCAGTTCGATTCTCCAATCAGGTGGTATCTCTCAATTCTTTAACCAGTCCTCCATATGCACCTTGCCTTTGAAAATAACACAGGGAGATAGAGCCCATCTATTAGAGCTAATACATTCTATAGAAGTGACCTGTTTTCAGTTTCCTGGCTGTAAAAGGCTTGCTTTGTATATCAGATTTAATACCCACTTTAGCAGCAGCTATTAGACCCATTACAGATCTCGTTACATCAAAATTGTAGATATCACTTAAGGCTATGCTATAGTGTTGAATATATTCATTTACCTACTTATACCAAGCACCGAGTGTTTTAGGATCCTCGGCTTTAGCACATTTATAGCTGAAGCGGTATACAAAGCGTGTTTTTAACTCAGACTTTTCTCCTACAGTAATAGTAGAAGTACTATCTCGATTGGAAAGCAAGATATTGGCCATTTCTCGTATGTATGCCGGCCGAGGAGGTACTCCACACTTATATAGCTATACAATCTATAGCCTAAGCAATTCCTCTTCACTAGTAGTCAATTTATGACTACTCGCTCGAGTATTACCTTTAAAAGAAGCTCCTTTTAGACGATCACATAGTGTAGTGAGAGGTATATTAAAAACCTCAGCTGCCTTCGTAAGGCTTAGGCATTTTTGGTGGTATGGCTCATGTTTTAAATCGCCTAGGACATTGAGGCTTGTTGAAAACGAGGGTGGTGCACAGCTCGCTTACCGATTACATTACGTAGACTGGGAAGGGGACTGCGCAACCCTATGTCTACGGTGTCCCGTCCGCTCGCAGAGGCCCGTAGAGTGTAGGGATATCCTATATATAGGTCACTACCACAGCATCGTATTAACAAATCTTAGTGGATTCTGATACCCAGGTTTGACCTTCACTATACAAGAACAGCTAACTGGTCAGCAGAGCTCCAGCCCGGATGCCCTAACACTATCATCTGCCTATATATAAGAGGCCACACATATTGTGGATCATGTAACCCGCTTCTCGGACCAACCAGGGCTCTGACGTATGGAACACTTATTTATTTAATTAAGTTCTGTTCTTTATAATTAATTATATTTATTCAGTACTGCAAAGTTACTTTTGGATTGAGTAGCCAGTATTGACTTGTTCATACTCTTAAACTACTGAGTATATATACTTGATAGGTCTGGCCCTTTGGACTCGAGCTATTATAAATTAATTATCGTGTCATTGTTCGGACCTTCCTAGGTCACCCTCACGACATATCGTTACTGAGCATTCATGGATTCTGACACTCAGGTTTGTATTACGCTACACAAGGACAGCTAAACTGGCTGCAGAGCGCCTGACTGAAGCCCCGGCCGTAACACGCAGCTAACTGGTCGCAGAACTCCAGCCTGAATACCCAGGCGTATCATATGTGCCAATGCGATTGCACATAGCTGCTTGTAAATATATCATGTTATGCCTCCGCCACCATGCTCGTAGAAGATCGCACCACCTAGCTTCGACGAGTATGTCTACCATCAACTGCAGCAAGCGCTAACCCTTCTTCCTCATCCGATGCTGGCGCTCGTCTTTGTCGAGGCCAACCAGTAACCGCGCGCCATGAATCTCGGATCCAACCCTTCAATTTCTGTAGAATGGAAAAGGATTTCTTCATATGCATCTCACACAGCTTATCTTGCAGATTTGTAAGCTCCACGGTCACTTTCTCTAGCCTCTCTGTTAGATTCACGTTAGCCTGGCAACTGGCAGATAGCTCTTGCTCCGTATGTCTAAGAGTGGTAGATAAGTTGTTTAATTGAGTCGATAAAGCCATTTTATTCTTCTTCAGCACTTCAACTTCCTCTTTTACGATTTCCAGCTCTGACTGGAGACTGTCCCTGTCTCGTCCCAGCCCTTGGCTAACCAAGCAAGCGCTATCCAATTCAGTGGATTTCTCTTTCAAGCGCTGCTCCAAATCATATTTCTGCTCATGGAGGTGTTCTATCTGCATATTTTTCTCCTCGTTCTCAGCACGTAGTTCGTTCCATGCCTTATGTAGATCATCAACTCGCATTGTATGCTCCGAATTTTGTCGCTGAATGACTTGCTCAGCCGTGGTGAGACGTTGGGAAAGGGTGGACACTTTCTGGGAAAGCTCAGCCTTCTCTTTCTGGAGAATTTCTGTGTTGACCTGGCTTTTTCGTAGCGAAGCGAGCGCTGTGCGATCTGCCTCCAGCTCCTTCTTGGTCCGTGCATACCGCCGAACATACCGACGTAGGGCGATGGACAATGTCTCGTCGGAATCCGGACTGCATTGTATCAACGCCCGGCATTTATCCACATCCATCGCCATGGCTTCCAGAGCCTCCTCATTACTCTGTAGCGACTGTCGGTACTCGCCGTGGAGGTGCTTGATACTCGCAAGGATCTTCTCCCATTTATCAACAACCTCAGCCTCCTGGTCGACATGATAGCTACATAATCCTAGACTAGCCATACTGCTCAGTTCATTGTAGGATACCGTGTGTGGCAGTCGCATCGATATGCTCGTCAGCATGGAGCATATGCGTTGGTATTGGGTATGCGGAACATTCCACCGGCAGCGGCTGTCGTAGCGGCTGCGGGCCTGGCCGAGACAGAACATGCCTCGAGGCGCGCCGTTGGTTACTTGAAGGATGCAATCAGGGTCCCAGAGTGGGCTAGACATGATGTATGTCTTGTCTGCGAGGGTCGGGGGGGGGTTCTGTTACAATAAAAAGTGAACGAAGAATATTGACGAGCGGGATGTCTGTGATGCGGGGATATTGGCGATACATATGGGAAGCTGCGCCGCATTTCCGTTTGAGCTGGTAGGTGGTGAGGGTTGCAGGGGTCACTGTCAATCACATCCAAAACCAGTTGAGCGGCCGCCATTCCACGATGTCTTTTTCTTGTTGATTGGCCCGTGGATCTGAATCCATGTCCATCAACCCCCACTCCCTGTTACTTTACAATATGCCAGCGCTTAGCTGGGTGATGAAAGAGACTGCCAGCGGAACTAAATTTAGTACACCGCTGACAGGGCTAGATACTAAAAGAAGAACCGTCGCCGCTCCCTACAAGCAATGGACGATGGAAGAAGAGTTTGACCTCGCCGACAGGGGAACATGCACTGCACTGACCCTCGAAAAAGACCGAACGCTGACGACCGTTTTCCTTATAGATAAATAGCCAATCCTTCCGTATCAGGAAGACTATTCCCTTTTTGAGATATTGCGTCCATGGCGGGTGCAGAATAGTGTTGCAAAAAATGTAATGGGATAATGCTTGGGCGGCGGCTAGCAGTTGGGTGTTATGGGTGGAAATACAGCAGCTATTTATAACCTTAGTAGTAGCTATTTCCAGCATTATCTCCACATATTTTCACATTCTGGTTATAACTGTCTCAAAATATCGAATGTCTAAATCAGCAAGCCAGAAATCCAAAGCTGTCAGTTCGCTAATCAAACAGATCTTCTAAACTGCCATTCCTATTCGAACCGATAATTTCCAACCCTTCTCTGAACTCAACACGTACTAAGTAGTACTCGTAGTACTAGTAGTAGTTCGAAAATTTAAGGCTTTTCGCCCGTTTCTTAACATAATCACGCTTAGGGTTTAGGTGGAAATAATAACTAGTTACCCTGTCAATTACAAATCCCTTGGGGGGGGGGGTTATATGCTACTACAGGTGGTACTGTTACCCATTCAACGTGTTTGAAATCAAAAGAATGTCTTTATTATTACTACCCAACATGCCAACGCTGTGTAGGAGCTGTTGTTCTTACATCTGAAATAATCACCTTTTCACCTCTTTTATCAAGAGCGGAAAACTCCTCTTGCTCTATAAGACAGAACGGCCTTATTCCACTCCCTCATCCGTTCCTGGTCCGTAACCTTGCCATATTCTACAAGCATGCGTCCCAGCATCCGTCGGCAGTAGATCTTGGATTGTCAACGTGTTCTTTTGCGGGTGCCCCACCAGGATCCCAATTATGTATCCTGTTCCGTATTCAGCGGGGTCATATTCAGGCGGGGGTTGGGGAAGAATTGTAAGCTCCCTCTCCATCCTTTGGGTCGGTTTGATCCGTGCTATCTCTGTCACCTCTAGATCGAACAGAACTGCAAGACACAAGAAAAGGTCTCATCCGTTTCTACGCTCGCTGTACGATTCCTGAGCTCTGCCGCAATGTCCGCGAGTTTCTCTGCTCTGTCTTCGCTCAGCTTGAAACCACGCAATTCTTTGTATCGGAGCAACGGCGATATAGTGGTTCTGTGTGAGAACAGATACTCAGACTCTATCAGTCTCCGCACGCCAACATCGAGCTCGTAGACCCCGTCACTGAACTGGAAGTATAAGGCATGCGCTAGTGCACCTTCCTGGTACGTCTAGAGCTGAGTGCCCCAATCGCAGTTTAATTTCTTCATGCAAAGCTCGATATCATCCCGGTCTCTGACCGCACTGTTGAAGAGCCACGAGTCCAGGATGAGCCACGCTGCATCCGCATAGATACTACGCATTTTACTAAATGGCCAGGTTTTGGATTTCGTTCATTTCCCATGGAGTCGGGCGGGATGCAGAGTGTGCCGCACCAGAAAGGGACCATTCCGGATTTCGTCCCGGGTAGACTTCGAATCAGTTTGCAGAGTCGACGTAGCTGGCAGGATTTATTCTCAATCCAAGACAAAATGTCATGCATTAAAACACTTCACCAATCCAGCCGCCATTCCAGAAAGCATGGACAGTCCTCCCAATCATTCCTTGTAGTCAACATTAATGAGAAGATCCCCGTTATCATTAAACATAGGATTACTGTAGCGGAACGTGCCCTGACCCGGGACGACAAACCGAGCAGAACTATTGAGATTATTTATTCTGCAGCTGTGCCTCTGTAGCCTTCAAGGGGGAGTTTTTCAAGTTGGTGATGAGCGTATGTTCCAACATAGACTGTTGGCCCTCCACGTCGTCTTTGGTAGGCCATAGGCCCCCCTCCATACGATACTTCAGTGGGTGGGAGGAAACCTGGAAATCCCTGTCGCTCAAGTCGAGAGTCATGGACAGGCCCCGTTGTCGACTGCATGGAGGGTGATTGTTGTACTCTATTCGAGGTAGATGCGAATTCTGACGGTATCAATAGAGGCGCAGGTAGAATGGCGTTATTTCTACTTACGTGTAGTCACAGGACCAAAGGGCCCATCCCGAGGTCTCACAGCAAGTGACATGTACATCTATATCGGTTTCCCCGGAAACAGTGATCACATTGGATCCTGAAGCTGTCTTCATGCTGTTGCTGGTAGTGCCTGTTTCCAAATGCTAGCCCTTGGATTACTCACATTGTATCAGAACCTACACGTCACATCGATGGAGCCACTTGTATTCCCTTGCCTATCAGCCTTGCTGACAGATTGTTCTGGTTGGCTCGGTAATCCCCATATCCATTCCATGACTTCTTCCTCGACAGGTACCCAGGTAAAGAATTTGGTATCACCTGCGTGGCCGGAATCTCCTACTCCGATGTCCCATGTTGGACGATCCACCGGCGAGAGATCGGCAGTTTTACCCACGCGTAGGTAGCATTATTAAACAAGTGAAGGAGCTGGGGCGTTGTTGTGCGAAGGAGACAGCGGTCCCAGAGGATGTCCTTTTCAATGCACATGGTTCCACCCATTCCCTTCGACACGAATTTCCCGGTGTATGGAAGGATGGGCGCTGAGGGAAAGTCCTTCTTGTCCGTCATTTGTAAGTACAACAGCATGTTGTTGTCCCCTTATGGGACCTCCTCTAGGTTTTTCTTTCCTGGGGCAATGTATTTCGTAGGTTTCAAACTTTAGTGAGGGTGGGAGGGAAGTTGGGAGCCTGCTTATTCATTGATGACGGGTCTGAAGCTTGCAGTCCGTATCCGATGGTGCGCTTTTGGCGATCTGTCATCGGCCCATCGTTGACGTACCATCTGGCGAGGATTCCAGCGAATATGACGATGTCGTCAGGATCTGTTGTCAAATTTTTTTTTTTTTTTTTTTTTTGAAATCGGGCCGATCCATGCTGGGATTGTCAGTACGCGTGTGGAGTAGGGATGGTGGTTCTTACTCGGCTTGATTACGTCTCCCTCTAGAACATCATATATCAGTATATGCTTATAGTAGACTTGGGATTGACGTACCGTTGAATGTGAGAAAAAGGGACGTAAGTGAAAAGTCTCATGCCTGTTGAACTGCACTTCGCACTTTCTTGTCCTCATCCGAACCTGGTTCAACCTTGACCGAATCAATCTCCACATTTAAAGCAATGGTCCATTCGGTGCCATCAAAATCCTCTCTGAAATAAATATCAACATGCACTCCCACCCAATGCAATTCACTCACGGTGGATCGTAGCTAAAGAGCAGCTTCCCTGACTTGGACTTGGCACATTACTCCAGATTGGCACGAGTTTCTCCTGTCACCTTCAATGAACCTAGGGGCTGGCCAATTTCAGCGTCCAGAGTATCTCCCGTCTTGCTTTTGCTCTGGACATGCCCAATTTCTGGGTGGTCTTTGACCAGTTTCGCCATGGCGGTGTTGATGGCTCCTTGGGAAAGTGCCGTGATCTGTTTCGCTATCGTCAATTTCTACTAGTGCAAGGGTGACGAGTCTGAGCTCACCTCGGAAAAACCTCCCATGGAGACCTGCAGACGCTTGCTCTTCACGTCGCCCATATTGATGCCGTTTGATGTAAATTGTTTGTGTAAGTTGTTCTCTCTGGTTGTACTGTGTTGCCCAATTCTTCCGCGCAAGAATGTTGGTTTTAATATTCCTTCGCCACAACGCAGAGAATATAGTTATTACGCGGTACTTTGTTCGTGTTTGTCAGGCGTTTTGGTCAAGAACAAGCATGAGGGGACTGAAAGGAGGGTCTGTCGAGACCCTTATCCTGTCACATCGCACCAAACAACGCAGTAAGTGGATTGACAAGGATCATCAGGGCTCGCGGGGCCGGATCTCCACTCCGCTGGTCTCGTCCTTGTCGATCTGAACTCACTTCCAGCGCCGACTACGAGGGGGAAGGTCTCATCGCAGCACAAGTCAACACGGTACTGTCGTGTGATGAGACATTTTTTGCGATCTTTCAGCTGCAGATATTATTCTGCACGACGACAAAGTGAGAAGGATGATTGGCACTCAAGACCTTGGTGTTAAATATAGTGCAGTCTACCGGGAACTGTCATTTGCACCGCTCAGCATTCCTGCGACCAAAATGAGCAACCTTGATCCCCAACCCAGCACTCCGACCGACTGGCTCGAGTATGCACAGAGTGACGTTGTGGCTGCAATTCCACTGCAACAGAACAACGGACAGAGCAGGCGTGTCAATTTCTATACTTTCAGATAGACAAGTGCTAGGACTGCAGAGCACTTCTATCCACCGAGACGTCTATCTCGATGAGCCGGCAATTATCAACCAGCCAGCACAACTGTTGTATGTCTACGCGGATGTATTTGCATTGACCAAGCCGGATATTACCATCTCGCCACCTGCGTATGGTTTAATTCAAGTTCAGTCACGAGTCCTGACTGCAGCCACACCCGTCAACCTGAATATTGTCCCTGATTCTGCAGGATGTCAGCTGTGGATCTTTGCTTCGATTCTGAATCAGCCAGTGAAAGTGTCAACTTCCGGTGCTGACCCAGTGTCCTTGGACCTGGGGCCGGAATCAGGAAATTCTGGAGTGCATCTAACCATCCTCCCTGGAAAAGTAGATGTCAAGTACCAGAAGGGTTATAACCCGGTGAGGGATGATGACCTCCAAGCCAGTCTGGAAACACAGTTGCAGATCGCCCTCTCTCTCTTCTGGAGAAAGACCTCTATTTCCGTTTCGCTTTGCTCATACATCGCAGGCATCACTACCAAGCCAGCCAGCCATATATCCCCAGCTCAGTGCCCAAGGAGTGGCATTAGGACAGCAATTGGCTGCGCAGGTGATGACAGGACCTGACATTGGGTATGCCCCTGTCCTGAGCATTCAAAACTATGAGACTGTCCATGATGCACTGAACACAGTGTCTGCCTTTGAGACGCAGTACACTTGCTTTCAAGATAAAAAACAGTCGTTGGAGGATCAGCTCAAGATACGGGATACAATGATACAGCAGGCTGTGATACAAGCGCAGATTCACAGTTACTTGAAGAAATCGGCTCTTGGGAAGTACAACGACGCACAGACTGTAGTCAGCCGCTGCGTGCAGCAATTGATTTCTGATAATACGGAGATAAACTCCGCCTCGAATGCGTTCCAGAAGGGCTTGCAGGATTTGGCGGTGAAACAGTGGTTTGGGGCCGCACTCGACATCATGACCAATATTCTCAGTTCGTCTCCCTTTGTCTCCTGTGACTAGTGCTAATCGGATAATAGAGTTCTCCTCGGGTGTTGGTGTCCTTTCACTGGGTGACCAGCAGATATTGTTTGCTGAGACAAAGGGTATTGGTGGTGCAGCTGCGTATAACTGGCTCTGCGGAAGCATGGTATCAGTGGAAAGGTGTTGGCCCAAGCCCAAGCGGAGGCTATCAAAGCTGGACATGAATACGTCCTAGCTGAACTGCAATACATTAAAAGTAACAAAGACATTGCTGATCTAAAGGAGTTGAGGGCTCAGTTTAGTGGTCAAGAGAAGATCTATGCGCAAGTGGAGGCAAAATTCTATAGTCGCTTCCTGGGGATCCGAAACAGCCTGACTATGGAGATGCGGAGGTTGGTTTGGGTGTATAAATATTGGGCTCTGGAGGACTCGGCTGTCGAGCTTGATTCCCAAAAGACGGTTGCACAGTTCTAGGCGGATCTTCTCACTCTCGACTCGGAAATTGAATCTACGGACGAGAAATATGCCACGGATTTTCAGCATAAGTTTGGACTTGAATTTCGAGACCCCACTGACCTTTTTCTAGCATTCAATTACAGTGTCGGTTCCTCCAAGGTAACTCCGCCACCTCCCCTCCGTACCAAGCTTCCAACTAATGAACCACAGCTCCCATCCAACTACGGCCAACAACTGATCGACGGCCTCAGAAGCGAATCCCACAGGGCCAGTTTCACCCTCACCGCCGACGATCCCAATGGCCATCAAGGCTTCGCCAGCATCTTCACGGATGGCTCTCGTTTCCGCCTCAATGGCCTAAAAACATTCTTATCCGGAGCCTTCCCCAACCCAGAAGCTGTTGTAGGAGGCGTCGTCCAGGTCGACATACAAATCCTCACGTCAGGCATCTACGCCGATATCAAAGATGTTACGATCTGGCAATTTGCTAGTGTGCCGCGGAGCGTGCTACTTTCGTATGATCTGGATACAAAGGGGAATCGGGGGACGACGCATGTTCATGCTACGTTTCCGACTAAGGAGCATGCGGAACTGACCTTATTTATGTAGTGGACGGTTAAGTTGTTGCATCCAGAAAAGCTAGAACTAAGTGGCTTGAATAAAGTAGACTTGGAATGGACGGGGCATGCAAGGTTGTGTGATGGTAAGGCAGTGTCTAGGAATTGAATCAGTTCTTTTCTTAGTTTGCCTGTGTATCAATACATCCAGTCATTCAGTGTCAGAAATTGGCTTTTTCAAGGTATCTACCCTAATCCTTATTAGTAACCAACAAGAGAGATCCTGCCGCATAAAAAAGAGGGCGGCCGGTGTCCTTCTATCCCGTCACACTGCTCTAAAGGTTCAATCTTACTCATCCCCTTCTTCCACACCTAAAGTAGTTGGATCGACTGCCTGGAACTGGCCCAGGGGGCCGGTTTTAACAATGAACTCGGCCACAATTGTGCGAGCATCCGACCGCGGCAGAAGCTCGTCTCGACGGAGAGCGATTCCCTGGTCGTAAAGAGCGTTTCTCACCAGGTTGTGCTCGTCCTGATTCAGCGGGCAGTCAAGCAGGACGTGAATCACCGTCCGGTTGCCAAGGTCGCAGTTGCACTGCGCTGTCTCACAACAGTTGGTACGGCTCACATAAGCACCTAGGCCGATCTCAGCCAACTGCCATACCAGCCAGGTTATTAGTGTCAGAGTCTAGAACAAGCAAGATTAACAGGTTAGTGCAATCTTGATCCCATACATAGTCTGCAGGTGATATCAAGGTGCTAATGCCCATATCCAATGAGCTGGCTTGTGAAATCAAAAGTAGGCCAAGAGCAGGATACTCTTCAACTAGAACAGCTTCTAACAAGTGGGTTTGCATAGCTAGCAACATGGAAAACTAGAGTGTTATCATAAGGTATCTAGCTAATACACTAGCATTTTACCTCCAGTGCCAGTGAAATAACCCATTGTGCTCATAGAGCATATAGAGAGGTACTCAGCAAATTTGTCGTCCTCCCTCGGCACCTTTGTATAGTACATGGAGTCCACCATATTGTCAAGTCACTTTGATTTGCTCGTCGTAGCTAAGACAAGCGGCGGCGGGTATGACGGTTAGGAAGACATCAGTCTATGAAGAAAATATTTTCTTCGGAAACGTGTACAGGTTAGCTAAGTTATCCTTACCAGTAGGGGAAATCAAGAACATTCAATGTCACGGATTAGATGAGGTTTTCATCAGATTCTCATTGACTTGCAAACCTACAATGATGAACATGGGTACTTAGAGAGGGAGAAGTCAGTTGGACTACTCCCCACTTGAAGTTTCGCCTAGCGGGTGGAGCTCAAGTAATAATGACCATAATTACCCATTGTATTGATGATGCTGTCGTTTTGTTTAAGTGGGAAAAAGGGGGAAATGTTGAACAGTGATACAGAGGGATGTGGATATAATCACTAATAAGGAGAGCGGTTGATGAAGCCGTAAGGGGACTGCCAAAAAAGATTCGTCGTTGCGGAGTGGCCGCTATGGTCCGCCGGCGGAAATGTGTGTATCCTCTATTATATATACAATTTGAGTTAGAATTTGACTTATACTATTACCACTATGCCTCGTCCAACAGGCTTTGAGCCGTAGAAGAGATTATCTCTCTCTACTAGTCTGAAAATAGCCTCTCTAGTATCAATCATTTCGTTTCTGAACAACATGGAATTGCTGCTTCTGACCGTACAGTCATGCGACGTCTCAGAGACCGGCAGATTACTAGATATCCTCCAGACGACGACAGACCAACATTCTGAGCTTTCTCAGCGGGTCCTCCAGCTGCTTTATGAACAGACTCTAAGTGATAAGGAGATCCCTATAGTCTTGAAGTTTAGAATTTAGTGAGAAAACATTAAGTCCGTACGGACCCTGTGTATGGCACCTAAGCATGGTTTGAGCTCTTCGCGGTGTTTAGGGCTAGTAGCCGGAACATGAAGCCAAGCAAGCCACGCGAGAGGTATAAATTTCTGATCTAGGTCAGAGGCTAGTTAGTCATTTGATTCTGCCGGCAATATATTTTGTCTAAAGTTAATTTAGTAAAGAATTTGTTTCCAGAATGATTTCAAGATCAGTTGTCACATACTGAATATAACAAAAATACCGCAAAGAATATATAATCGATGTAGTCTTCTGTAAGATGTGACTCTTGGCATACTTATAATATTTGATATACTGTTGGATATCCAGCCGATATCCAGCAGATTGAGGTGGACATCCAAGTCTCGTCGCTGCGGATGTGATAGTTGGATGCTGCCGCAGCCTATGAATGAGTGTCCTTATATATCCTTTGATATTATGCCATCCTGTATACCCATGATATATGCCATACACCATATACCATAGTCCAAATCATCTACCCGTCTATATACAGTATCACGTGATACCAATTGGACTCCATAATTGGCCCGTCCGTTGGTAATCTGGGTTCCTACCCCTAGGGCTACATGCGGCTATTGGCCGCGAAAAGCCTGAGGAACACTACTACTACAACCCCAGAATACCATTCCTTCATGCTTCCACATATTCTGTGACGGCCATTAAGAAACACCTATAAATCACGTATGACGCGCATACGAATCGAAATGGGGAAATGACACCGTCCCTAACACCACCGTCCGCGGAGGTCCTTCTGGGCCTCGTATTCCTGGCCGTGCCAAGACGGACACGGGCATTTCAGATGCGCTAAAAACAGAATTTTTTTTATATCTTCGGCGATGTTACTAGAGAAACCTCAGCCGTTGTGTGATTTTGGGTCAGGCTTATCGAACGCATAACCGTCGACATCATGAAGAAACTCATCAGTCGGTGGAGAGCATCACGTCGGCAGTCGACCGTCGAGACTTCTGCTGCAAATACTTCTGATGGCTCTATAGCACGTCATCCGCTGCCAGGTGTGCCATTCCGCGGTAGTGAGGATACGCTGATGGGGGGAAAGGAATACAATGTAGAGGTCGCCAGCGCACCGAGTAACCCGGACTTGTCCATGTCCACCTCAGCAAGTCCCCCAGGTGCTCTCGGAGATGCCAATACGGTCACCAAGCTGAAGTCCAACTGCTGGTCTGCATGGCTACAGAAGGGAGAGGCCCTTTTGCGAATGGGCCAGTTGCAAGCCGCGGAGGAGGCCCTCCAGAAGGCATTGGAACTCGCGGAGATTATTGATAAACCAAAAGTACAGAAAAGACTCGATGACTTACAATCCCAACATGAAGTAGGATCATTGCTTTGTGATAATGAACCTGCTGCACACGCTACGTTACCAGACGATTCCCCCGATCATAAATCCACTCTAGACCGTAAGTTACCTCTAGTAGACGCTGAGCTATTGTCTAATGTGTGGTCCAGACAATACCCTAATGGCGAAGCTTTTGCCTAGTGATCCTGATCTGGACACCCTGGCACAAGCTCACTATACTTGGAATATCGCGGACTGGAAGGCCATGCAGAAGAGAGAACTAGGCCCCGTCTTTGAATGCGGTAGATGGCCTTGGTGAGACACTGAAAACATCTATCTCCTTTGAAAGTGGACTAATCCTGTCTACAGGCGAATTATCTGTTTTCCATCCGGAAATAATGTAGATAATATATCGCTATACTTATCGCACGCGTACGAGGAAGGGCAGGAACCTAGTGATTGGTATGCATGTGTCCAATTCGCGATCGTCTTGTGGGATCCCCAAGCACCATCACAGTACATCGCGCGAGGTCAGTAGATATTTTCGCGGTTCCAACGTCATGTTTACGCTAAGACAAGATAGACGCACACCATCGTTTTACCGTGGACGAACCAGACTGGGGATTCACCGATTTCTGCCGCAACGAGGATAAGGACAATTGCCTGAAAGGGTGTGGTGCGATGGCGATCACTGTGTACCTGCGTCTGGTGAAGGACCCAACCGGAGTCTTATGGCACAATTTCTATAAGTAAGCGCTATAATCGCAATAATGACGGGACAGGCGACTGATGTATCGCTAGATACGACTCGAAGAAGGAGACGGGGATGGTAGGCTTAACTCGCCGAGGGACCTTGTGCTATCTAAATACAACTCTGCAATCGTTGTACAATATCACTGCTTTTCGAAAGGTACGTTGGCGCTCGGTATATTCTTAGATGGCGTTACGGAATTTTCATGCCTCTGCACATAGGTCATATACAACATTCCGTCTGAAATGGGCGCCCCCTCGGACTTTGTATCGGAGCTTCAAACACTGTTTCGGTCTCTGGAGACCAGTGACTCCGCAGTCTCAACTATGGGACTCACTGCCTCTTTCGGTTGGCATGGGCGAGAATTTATCCCCGAGGATATTTGCGAGTTTTGGAGAGTGCTGATGATGAGCCTTCAGCGAAGGCTGCAGGGAACCAGTGTCCAGCGTTCCCTGTCTGATTTGTTCGTTGGGAAATCCTGCACGTACCTACTCCGGGGTGGTGAGTTGGGCCATAAACTCTCCGAGGAAGAGTTCTGGCATCTCGATTTGAAGATCCGCAACAACTCAACTCTGCAGTGCAGTTTCGATGAGATCACAGCACCTAGTCCTGGAAGCAACTCATCCAACTCTGGGACAATCCGGGTTCGCAAGTTCGAGACATTGCCACCCGTACTTTGTCTCCAATTGCAGCGAGCGGCATTGGATACCAACCAGAAGCGTGTCGTCAAACTGTATGACTCCTTCGAATTTGGACTCGAGTTCGACGCGACTCGATACATCTGGCCTGGAGCGACAACATCCGAACCGTGGCTTTATCAGCTGATAGGCGTGATTGTCCACGATGGCGACGCCTTGACAGGCAAGCACTACTGCTTCCTACGGCCCGGAAAGGAAGAACCGTTTTACCGGTTTGAGAATGAGCAAGTAAACAGAGCAACAATAAAAGAAGCAGTCAATGCCAACTTTGGGTGTGGTTCGCTGCGTTCCCAGTCGCAAGGAGAAAAGCCTTCCGCGGCGACGGCAGTTATGCTCCTATATCTTCGGAAATCAAGGCTAAATGATTTGTTCATGCAGTAGTAGCCTTGCTGCATAAAGGAGCCTATGCATGACGACCATATCTGCAATCTTTTCGCTCAGTGATGTCGCACAGCAATAGACAACTAGTAAATATGCTTGATGCTGTGAAACGGGACATGGTCCATTAATGGATATATTTGATATATACAACTTTATTGCAGTAAAATCAATCCGGGCACAGTAAGGTACACTCATCTTTTCGTCACGCATCATCATGTTCCCGTTTTTTCACAGTTTATCAACACTAGCGTTGGCAACAAATCAGTAGGAATCACAGCAACACCTACATTTCTGACGGGATGCTCCTTGAACTTGGCAAGCTCCGACAGCACGGCACTATCCGTCCGGCCGGGCCATTCAACTGCTTTGCTCTCCCAGTTCTACTCACAGATGTAGCTCGGAGACGAGTGACAATCGCCAGCAGCATTGACGGTGAAAGGTATATCTAACTGGCCGCCCTTCATCAGGGAGATGTGCTGTTATCGGGATATCCATGTTTTTGAAATAATTGCCTTCCAGCAGGACTTATGTATTGGTATCTATAGTGAAGGCATGACTGCCAATGTCTTGGAAGTAGTTATTTATGCCATGGATATACATTTTGGAATCTGCGATATTCTTTTCTATGTGTGGTGTGCGACCCGAGAGGTTGTGTAGACAGATTCCAGTGAATGCATAATACCAAATCCTCTTTACTAATAAGGAGAACGGACTAATCGTGCTCGCTGTTGCCAACATGGGCGCCTTTCCAACATGGTTGAAGGCATTACTGTTGCTGCTAGGTCGATAGTTAGATGTAGGTACTGCATTTCTCTGCTCTGCCAGCTACTTCATATACTAAGGACACGCAACAACCCGTGTTTCACAGCCCAAAAATAAGACTACAAAACTAAGCAGTGCTATAGACTAAATATAATAAATAATGTCGCTGGCGGAGGTGGTTTTATCGTTCCTTTCACTTACCGCAGTCTGGCTGAGGGTCGGGTTGTGAGTTTAAATCCTGGACCCTCATGAGGGTCATGGCGAGGTCTACATGGACTCTGTTCTAGAGACTATTTCTAGAGACACAGACCTGCTAGGTGGGGAGACCATCCAGCACAGAAGAGAAATAATGAAGGATATAGCCGTTTCCGATCTACATGTAATTAGTAAAGACAGACAAAGAGAACACAATTCTCAGGCCTATTCAGTAGTGCAGAAGCTCCATCCAGAGGACTTGGCCATGACAATCGAACCATAGCAATCATAAGTGAAAGCAGAAGCAGGGCCCGACACATAAAAAATCAAGGTCAGTATAGACCCGTCCTATATTTCTCTTCCGTAGATCTCGACGCCTTTCTCCACCTCCTACTCACCTCAGCGATAGTGGCTCAGCGAATCAGATTTCCAGTTGTGCGAGTTCCTCCGTATGGCTCTTTTCCCACGGATGGTTCTTCTCCACTGCTTAAATAAGGCTCTTACACTCGGAGCTACGGACCTGAATACTCAGGTCGAATGAAGCTATTGGGGACCAAGATCGCCTCCTTAGGAATAAGGTAGCTGTGGTATATATCTTCCTTACTTGACGCATGGGCCACCCCCATAGGAGTAACTGAGTGCCATCGGAGGACCTCCTTCACCACCACATTGATATATGGGATTTTGTTACAATCGGATATATCCGGTAGACGATCGGTTCCCACAACGCGGTCGATTTCCTCCTGTGCCTTCTTCTACACATTCCGGTATAATACCATGCCCTGGCAAAGGCATGCAAATGCAGAGCCGGACTAGGGCAATGATCAACTGCAAACACACAACTAATCAATTGGAACCGGCAATGTACCGTTTCAGCTCCTCCACCGTAGATAGATTGGGCGGGCCCCTTCGCCACCAATTTCTCCTCCGAGCCCGGTTCCACCTGGTCTCGCTTCGGAAGTCTCGATACATACGAGGGTATATGCTTCTGCCGCGCAAGTTGTTGTTCAACAAATGCGTACAGGATATCCGTCATCGCCTTCGCCCTTTTCTTGTACGCTTTGTCTTTTTCTGCCAGTCGCAACCAGGAAACCAGCTGAGTAGATATTTTACTGCCCGAGCTCTTCTCCATGAGGTCAATCACCGCTCGATGTCCGTTTGCAATGATGATTGACCAAAGATCGTTACTGAGCTGATTGGCCCTACTCAAGCATGGTATGAGATTAATACGGTGCGTCCTCGTATTTGCAATCTGGATTGTCGCCTTACCATAGAGTTCCTTATGCTTGAGCTAGTGCAGCCACTCTGGGGCTCTCGGCGGCGGCAGATCTAACAGGTTACTACCGATGATGGGCTTTGGCGTTGGCCCCGGCGGGAGCATTTTCAGAATCTTCCTTTCCTTTCTGGCACATTGGAGAAGATAGAGGCCTGTAAGGGACAGAACGAGGTTGACTACAAGAAACATGACAACCTGACAACTCTTGCAGGCACGGGTACATATCGCGGGGCTAGGTTATGCCCGTATTCCATACTTATTGAGAGATCCACAGTCTGCGCCCCTAACATTTAGCTGAACCAGAGGTGACGACAGGTCATCCCAAGGGTGTGTTACATCACCACCGCAAGAATAAGCATTCACCACGCTGGGATTGGCTCGACATTAAGCTGATGGGCCCGATCGCCAATCATCTGCATCTATTGAAAACGGGCTGTATGCTCGCCACCCAAGTTTTCTGGGGTATCGTTTTGTTTTGTTTTGGATGCCGTGGTGTGGTGTCTTCTCCCATTCCCACTCAGATTTACTCAACAATATATTATTTTCTTGAAAGACAGGGATGGCATCCAATAGCACCTCAACTTGAAAGACGCGAGGGACCAATCCTCGCTCCGGACCTACCAACAGGGGTAGTTTATGCACTGGGTAGTTTATACACTTTCTTCGACCACGTAGGCCCGACTCCACACCGCTTAGTTGCTGCTCCGGCAGCAGGGAATCCACCACACCATCTACGGTAGGGCTAATATGTGCTCTTGCCCCTAGACCCGAGAAGCCTTTCGCAGCTATATGTGGCGTTTGGTTCGGCATTTTGTAGAAGAGGAGAGCCATCTTGGATAAATCTAATAGATTTTATCCCCACAGACGTAGCCTATAAATGAGAACTCTTGGGAACCCCCGGTGCATATCTGGCAGCTTTAACAGAATAATCCCATGACCATGATCATGCTCAGCCATTATCAGTCTCTTCGTCTATTCAGGTTTCTATGTTCTAGTTCTTTCACTCCATCACCCCCGCGGAGGCTGTACCACGCCCATCACTATGGGTATATCGGACCTCAAATGGTATGGGCCGCATTTATCGGCACAATATGCTCAGTGATAATTGCCTGGTGGTGGGCGTATTAGACGCAAAGCAGCATGGGAAGGTTTGGGGACCGCAAAGAAAGCTGCAGACATCCAGAGAGGGACTTATGATGTTGAAGGCTACCTAGGTTACCGTTCGACTTTCTATCTTATTGTGACAGGTTCTCATCAGCGCATGTGTCTTGAATACATCAACGAAATAGATGAGAAGAAAATTTGAGTCTGGACCGATTCTACTTGGTAAGTTACAGTGAACATCTAATTGTTTTTAACAAGCTACGTAGTACTTGTCTACAAGATCTAGTCGATCACTCGGCTGGAGATATTGAACAAGCCTGGATGATCTCGGCGGTGATGCCGATGCGTCTTGCCGTGATAACAGGAGATTTACAGCTAGCCTGAACCGTACAAAGAACAGCTTCGTTCAGATACAATTGTTTGGGAATTCTGGATTACCGACTGGCCATACTGACCCTCCTTTAAATAGGTTTTACGTTATGGAGAAATAGCTTAATGGAGAGGGGCTTGCAAGTCTTCCAATAAACTCTTCAGGCACAGTAGTTGTACCGCAATATATAGGCAGCACCGTATTTAGAATCTATCTTTTCCTGGGGGCAGTACTTTCGTACGCCGGATTAGCCCACTAGTATTGTTCAATAGGGCCAGCCAGATTGACGAAAAGCCAATCCGACTAGACAACAGGCAGACAGATGAAGATGGAACGTTCCATAAGGTAAACTAGTCCGATAAACCATGGCATTGTCTTTGTAGAGACGTAGTTTTGGGACGACGATATACTATATGGAACAAATTATATGTCTCTTTGCTTTGCTTTGCTTTTCCTTCCTTTCCTTTCTTCTTCTTTTTTCCTTTTTTTTGGGGGTTTTTTTTTCTTTTTTCTTTTTCCTTTCACGATATTATATGTACTCACTCGCGCAGCCAACTGGAATTGTCCGGACGATCGGGTCAAGTGAAGTGGTTGTTTCTGTCAGTAGGACAGAATTTCGGAAATAATGCTTTCCATTTTACGTCTGTTGGTGCGTGTCATGACAAGAACACAGCTTAGCAAGCGTGGCGTTAACCCATTACTATATCATTTTTGTGCTGAATCATATGGTTATCCATATAATCAAGACAAAAGAGCCATCAACTTATCCCTTCGAACATCCAATTCCGAGAGTCTAGTTCTGCGGATCTTTCCCCCAGAGGTACGCGGGATCGAATCCACAAAAACCACACCCCCCTCTAACATCTTATACCCAACCAGTCGCTGCCGCATGAACACGGAAATATCCTCGGGAGATGGTCTCGTTGTCCAAGAGACGGGAACGACATACGCACGAGGAAGCTCAGTGCTTCCATCAGAAGCCATTACCCCAATCACAGCAGCATCCTTGACGAGGGAATGTTGCACGAGTTGAGCTTCGAGCTCAACGGGGGATACCTGGTATCTTCACATACGCTTAGTATATGTATATAGAGGAATACCTGTATCAAAACAAAGACAATGAAAGAAATATATATATATATATATATATATATTTTTATATGAAGGAAGGGAGCTTACCCCCGAACTTTAATCAATTCCTTTATCCTCCCGACAAGGAAGTAATGGCCATTCATCTGATACAAGACATCCCCGGTAGGAAACCAGCCATTCTCATCCTTGGGATCAGGACAGCCTTTGTAGCCGGTGAACAGCCCCGAGCCACGAACCTGCAATTCCCCGGGAATCTCCGTGTTATTGTCGAGTACCCGACCCGAACCACTCAAATCAACCAACCGCACCTCATATCCCGGCAGGACAACACCGACACTTCCTTTATCAAACTGACTAGAAGGAAGACAGTATCGAACTTGGAGGACGGTCGCCGTCTCGGTCATCCCCCACGCCTGCGCGACACATGCCTCGGGGTGTAACATATCATGTAAGGATTGGAGGGGTCCGGAGTCGATAGGGGCGCCTCCGACACCGACATACCGCAGAGAGCGTAGACACTCGTGGACATACGATGATGAAAGGGACGTCTGAATCAGGATATGCACCATCGCCGGCGAGAGATAGGTCTCGGTTACATCGTGAGAACGAATAGCGGATAGAAATGGCCGGAGTTGAAACCCAGGGAGGAGGATCAATGGCTGGGCGTATCGTGTGGGAAAGACGTGCGCGATCAGGGCCCCATACCGATGAAAGAGGGGTAATGCAAGGAGTCGGGTGACGGGGTAAGGAACGGGATAGTGTATGCTTTTATGTTGAAGGATGAGAGCCTGGTGCGATAGGATGGCTGCTTTGGGGAGTCCGCCTGTGCCGCTTGTTGCGAACATGGCTGCTGGGGTGGTTTTTGCTTTTTCCCCATCGTCATCAAAGGTCAACCAGGGGCGTTGGCCGCTATGTAAGAGGTTGATTATGTCTTGCCGGTGATGATATGCTGCGTCTGCCTCAGATGCGTCATGGGAAGACGAAAACGCCTCAAATAAGACTTGATCGATGTCATTCAGCACCCATACCCTGTCGGGGGGTACCCCTTCCATATATATCCCATTCGAGCTAGTACATTGTAAAATCGTCGAGAGGGTCTCGCGGCCGGTGATGATCAAGGATGGGTTGGCTAGCGAAAGAAGATGATCCAGTTCGGTTGCTGAACCGCCGGGGTTGGAGCCCATATAGACCGCCCCGACGCCGACAATCGCGAGGAACAGAGCTGGGTACAGAATGTTGTTTTCCAAATGTACCAGGATACATTGTCCTCTTTGTATCTTCTGTTCGTGCAGACCGGCGATGAACCGGCAGACCAGATGGCGGAATTGGTGGAGGCTCAGTGACCGCGATGGAGTCACCCCGTCCATCAGGATCGGAGAGGCTTCATTATAGTCAGTCTGTGTGTCAAAACAGTAGCTCACGATGTCTGTTTGTGTTTCGGTATTCATATTTGATGGGCCCGAAATTTCCATTGTAAATAAAAGGGAAATAAAAAAGAAAAAAGAAAAAAGAAAGAAAGAAAGAAAAGCAAAAACGATTTGGCTCGATTTATATCGATCGATATTCTCAAGGTCGGCCGAAAACCACAGAGAAGGAATGATAATAGAAGGGTTGCTTGTCTGGCAAAACCGGATGTAATTTATTTACTGCAGTTTTCTAAGTATTAGAATACTGCCGTAATCCACTCAACCTGCTCTAACATTGGCCTAGTTCGGAAAAGTACGCGCAAGCAGTTCAAAGTATATTTCTATCAAGGGTGAATCATCAGACCAATAAAATTAAATTAACAGTCACTACAATATAGTAGAGCCCGTGTATATGGCTACGGTTTGAATAGATGGACCTAGATTCTCTGGAGGCCCTAATATACGGAGCGTCTTATACTTCCTAGGGCTGACTTCTATTTAAGTTTCGTACTCAAGTACGTTACCGCGCTTCTATAATGGAGGAATCCTAAACAGTGCAACTGACGGTATGGTCGCTGGCGTGTGTTTTACAGCCCCAATTCTAGCACGTAACGCCCCAGTTCCCTAAACATACGTTATTTAAAGCCATTCCTGAGCTTCACAACTTCGTCGACCAAGCTACCAATCGAATCCGCTCCCATAATCTGTACGACTGGAACCTTAGTTCCCAGCTCTCTCGAAAGCCAACTATGGATATCTACTGCGACAAGCGAGTCCATTCCTAGTTCATGTAAGAGCGTTTCACGCCCAAGCGGGACATCGGCAGAGAGTCCCAACTTCCTGCGCAGCTTCTCCGTGACAAGCGCAAGTACGATATCCATTGCTTCCTCCACGCTCGTCTCTAACTCGAGCTGTGCCGGGGCGTCCAGTTTCTGGGTTTGGCCGTGGCCTGCAGGTTGGTTTTTGGCTTCGCATTGTAGTACAGTTCCGGTCTCCCTCCAGGCGCACAGCTTCGGTATCGACTCCCAGTTCTCACTTTTGCGAAGACCTGCAAAGATTTCTCCGTTGTTTATGGACTCTGGTCTCCCCAGAAGGATTGCTTCTGAGAAGGCCTCACGTATATCCCTCTCTGAGAGAATAATGTCTCCCGCTGTGCTCTTCTCCCCCAAATAAAGAATACTCCCCTTATAGCCTCTTTGCCGTCGTCGAGAAATAACACCCGATAGGACCCCGGTAGTATTTGCAATGATGTAGTTATTGCCCGTGAAGCCGATGTGTCCGAGCAGGGATCCCACAAGGATGAAAAATCCGACATCGTTACGGCAGAGCTCATCCAGCAAGAGAGTATTCTCAGCCACCTGTTGCGGATTGTCCTTCAGCCCGTCATAAATGATTCCACCTATTGGCATATAGGTTTGGATGCGACTTATCTGGAGTTTGGCTTTCCTGATAGATGTTAGCTGCCGATAGAAATGAGATGTTGGATACAAGAAAGCCTACGTATGTACTACAGTCACTTGCACTTCATCCCTCGAGAGCTGGGTTATCCACGCTGAATCTTCATCTGCCCATTCACCGACCAAAACAAGGTGTCGGGCTCCTTGTTGAGCCAAGAATTCGCTAACTGGTCGACGTAATTCGCGGTTCATGTTAACCACTAGATACGCCATTGTCGGCGAGAGACTGACCAGCGAACTAGCAGGGAGAATCTGTGCTTCAATCCTTGTCGGGTGCCGCCAATTGACAACCTCCAGGGAGTTGACCGATGGTCTTTCTCTGGGAGAGATAATGTGGGGCGAGCTTCCTTTCTCATACCCTGTATGCGTGACAAATTCACAGGCATTTTTAAAAGTATTGGCGACGAACTGCATGTCCATCTCTTCTGCAATGGACGACGGCCGACAGAAGTCCGAAAAGCTTCGCAAGGTAGCACGGCCTGGCAGTACTAGACTTGATCGTCGAGAAAGTGGTCCATCATCGAACAGGACTGCAGACGAGATATTCCGCGGTAGCACGCGGGACAGAGTCTGCATAGAGCTGTGCGGATGAACGAAGAGCACACGGGAATCAGGCAGCCCACACTGAGACGTAGTTAAGACAAGGTTCATCATGCCCTGTGTATCGGACGTGATAGACACCAGCGCGTCCGTGAATATCGGCCCCATTACCTGCGGTCCATGTACCCACAATGTTGTAGACTGACCAGCGAGATGGACAATCGCCATAGCTACAACGGTAGCTGCAACAGCGGCTAATAATTTTGGTTCATCATTAATGGAAACAAAACCCGGGACATCCCAGGTCCAAGACAATGGTGTCGAGATTATGGAACCATGAGAGATTGAGAGGGCGAGCTGTCGCGCGCCAGTGGTCATATTCTGTCCGACAATCAGAAAGAGAGAGCATGTCTCTGCTATTGTCAGTGCAGCCTGAGTACAATAATGTACTTGGTACCGAACGAGAGACTCATTTGAGAACTGTTTTACCGCAGGAAGTGTGGCATTGTTTGGATCCGTCAAACAAACATTTACTCTTTCTTTCTTTGGACCCTCCCTCGAGATTATCTGGACAACAGCTTGCTCGCGGGTATCTACCACATCAAAAACGCGAGGACTGCGGCTGGCGAGTAGTCGTCGATTGATGCTCGGATCACGCACAATGCGCGGGATTTTCAGGATTCCCTCATCCCATCCTAGTTCAATCTCAGGTCGTTCAAGGCCTTCGTTCTTTATCCGAACAAGATTCATTAGTGTGGTAGCGAGCATTTCAGCCTTGATAGGTATCGAATCGAAGACAGCAAGATGCTGCAGTAGGCCAGACGAGGAGTCGAGTGCAAGCGATCGAAGGAGGCCTTTGCTCACACCAGTATGCGGGTCCTTCTCACGGGAAACCCATAGTAGACAGCTCGCTGCCTTCATCAACAAGTGCATGTGCTGCCATTGCCATCTTGTCTCCTCTGAGCGGTGGTCAAGGTCGGCAAGACAGAGTATAGCAAGCCGAGAAACGCGTGGACCAGGCGTAAAATTATCCACACTCGAGCAAGAGGATATTCGAACGAAAGATTCGCGGAGGATTGTCTCTAGTTCCAGGATGGTCTTCCTTGTGGTCTCTGTACTACCACCTACCAGCAGCAAATCCATCGCCATCGCAGAGATCGCAGGACTATCTGTAGGCTGTGAGACTATCACAGACATACCAGTCAAGTTGGCTTGAATAGTAGGCGTATATGAAGTACATCTACCGAATCCAGTACACCGTAACAAGGCGTCCCATTCTTCACGTCGGATCAATGGTCCACAAAGCCGTCCGTCCTCCTCGCCCAGCCACCAGCCTTCAAATCCACCGAAGATAAAGGGAGTCGTGACTCGATCTGGATCAGTACCCTCCAGAAGCACCAGATAACCTGATGGCTTTACGAGCTTTCTTATGTTCATCAGCGTGCGACGCAGGGACCGAGTAGCATGCAGCACATTGCTTGCGATGACGACGTCGTAGCTATGTATGGGGAAGCCTTGATCTGTCACGTCGCGTTCAACATCGAGCACCTTGTAGACAAAGCGATCTTCATGAGTGTGGAATGCTGTGGACGCCTCATCAAAGAAGGCCGGAGAGACATCTGTATACGTATAGGAATGGTAATCCCGACCGATAGAGGACAATACGGAGCGAGTAGCGGATCCTGTGCCAGCACCAACCTCAATGATGTGTAGTTGAGGATCACGGAACACAATTTGACTGACTACCTTGCCTAGCCTGTCACTCATGATACACATTGCTTCATCATCCTGGTAGTACCGGGTCAGGAGATCGCTGCCGTCGTTGCGTAGTTTCGTGAGCATCGTTTCGTCTTCGCCACATAGGAACCGAAGGAGGCTCTGCCCTACTATATGTGTGACATGGATAAGAGTTTCGTGAGATGTTGTTTCAGAGCCAAGTTCACCTATGGTCCCTTGTAGCCAGTCTCGTGTGTAATGCGGATGTGTGCCATCACGAATCATGGATAATGTACAATCCATCCATGCAACATACCGGCTGCGATGCGAGTCGAGACGCTCGCGGTCCTGTGCAGTGAGCTGAGCTTGGACATCTCGAAGATATAATACGGCTAGACGAGCCTGTAGGTCCTGGATCGAGAGAGCGTATGGTGGATCCTCTGGGGAGTCAATGGTGGGGTCTGGATTCAACGGCCCCCAGACAGTCGTTCCGAAAGTCAAGGCTTGATCATCATCACTACCTTTGGGTTTGGAGGGAGCGAGATGAATACCCTCTAGCTGGGCTATGCCGTCGCCTTGCCCGTTGAACATGAACACATTACCACACACACCACCCATGCGTGTAATAGAGGCTTCCAGGAAGATAGGTCCAGAATTGTAGCAGGAGGGGTTGATGGTCACTAAATCGATCTGTGTCGGTAGCGGCAATGCTGGTAGTCTCCCTTCATCTGACATAATGGCTCCCCACAGTGCCTGCAACACTGTGGTCATTATGACTGGATGAAAGGTGGGCTGATCATGAGAGGGAACCTTGGCCACTCCTTGAATGCCACCATGTTGTCGGGTCAGTTTACTTATTGCCCGGAAGCTATCGGAGAATTTGGCGCCGACGATTTGCAACTGACTATAGAACTCGTCCACATTCATCGGGTGTGACATGGACACAGTTTCTTCCTTTGGCGGTAAGGCTGTCGGGTCAGCTTCACCCAGTGCAAGGATAATCCCACCAGAAGCACATTTTTGAAGTGTAACGCCACAGCCCATCTGGCACTGAAATCTCCCAGAGAATGTATCATCATCAGCAGACTCAATATCGATCTTGAAAAGGGTCTCGACACCCGGCCCATCTGCTGGAATGGAGATTGTGCGCTCTATGATTAATGAGTGAATTTCGACAAGCTGCACGGGCTTTGATCGGGAGACGACTTGTGCTGCCTCAACGGCCATGGTAATGTAGCCCATCGGTGGATAGACGATATCTGATAAGACGCGATTGTCACTAAGCCAGGGGAGCTCCTCCAGGCGGAGATAGTTTCTCCACCGCCATTCATCCTGACCGCATTCGCCACTAAGCACGCCGAGTAATGGGTGTGGTGGGATAGGGCAATGTAGGCGGGCCTGGGAGAGACGCGGTTCAGCCCAATAGGATGTACGGTGATCGAAGGGGTATGTTGGAAGTGATTTGAGGAAACGCAATTCTCGGAATGGTTCAAACAGGTGGATATATCGCTGGAGCTTTAGATCTCGCACACCAAGGTCCACCCAGAGTGTGCCGATAGCTGCAGCCATAGACTGAATCGAATTCTCCCCTCGATGAGCCAGCCCGATATAGGGCACCCCTGAACCCTCGGGGCGAGTGTCATCCAGGATCTGTCGGATCGAGCCTTGGAGTGCAGGGTGGGGGCCAACCTCGATTATTAAGTCAAGATTAGGGATTTGATCTAGACAGGTCGAAATAGCCTGAGAGAATAGAACCGGACGCAGCATGTTCTCGCACCAATATATACTGTCCAGAGCATAATCGGTGCCGTTCACCACCCTGCCTTTGTACACGCTAGAGAACCATTGCACCGAGGATGGCGGGCGCACCTTTACATTGCAGGATTTGAGGGCATGCAGATAGGGCTCTGCGCATGGCTGCATATGATGTGAGTGATAGGCTACATCCGTGTTCAGTCGGTGAGGATGTCGCTCAAGGCTCCCCAGCAGCCATGCGAGCTCGTCCACCGTGCCCGGGTCACCGGACAAGGTGACATTGGATGGTGAATTGTAGGCTGCCACTGTCACCTGGCTTTCCCACATCAACTGTGAACAGATGGCATTCGCCTGATGCTCGGTCAAATTCACTGCTATCATCCTTCCGCGAGAGGCGGCATGTTTAACGGCGAAACCACGAAGGTGTGCGACTCGGACTGCATCCGAGGCACTTAGGATACCAGCAGCATATGCTGCAGCAATCTCCCCAGACGAATGCCCAACCACTGCCGTGAAAGTGACCCCAAGGGCACGAAGCAGATCAACCTGGATGATCTGAAGAGCTGTCCGTAGCGGTAGTGATATAGCGGTTGTTTCGAGGCGGGATAGGCTCTCTGGCGCAGACAATTCGTCTAAGAGTGTAAAATCTGGACGGTACTCAACTGGCAGGTCATCCAATGACTGCTGCAACTCTTGCATTTGAGAAAGGGCTTTAGGGCAGTTTTGGATGAGCGCCAAGCTCATCTGTGGCCACTGTGCACCTTGGCCGGTGAAAACACCAAGAATGTAGATTTTGCTCGCGCACGTAGGCCGGGATATGATAGGCGGTCGAGCGTCTTTAATATTGAGCATTAACTCATGCTGAATCTTAATCCGAAGCTCGTCAGGTGATGTTGCAATGAAAGCTTTTTGGTATCGTAAGGCTGTCCGGCGCAACAATAGCGATGATGCCAAGTCCAGTAGGTCTACGTTTGAGTTATTCTGGAGCCACCGGACATACTCTTCAAGCAGATCAACAAGGGAGACTGGAGATGCTGCAGAGAAGACTATTGGAAGCAAAGCCCGTTGGTATTGATGAACTTGCTCGACCTGTGTAAAGCAATGTCGGCCAGGTTGGGGAAAGCTCTCCAGTATGGCGTGTGCATTGGTTCCTCCGAAACCAAACGAGTTCACGGATACACGTCGAGGAACCCCATTGGGTAGATCAGGCCATGGAATGGCCCGAGTTGGGACCTCCAAATGAGCGGTATATGGTGCCACAGTATCGCTCAGCCGGTTGAAATGTAGATTTGGTGGAATTACACCATGCTGCAGAGCTAACGAGGCACGAATAAGTCCCGCTAGCCCTGCGGCACCGGCGGTATGACCAATAATAGTTTTAATGGAACCGACATAAATCGTTTCATTATTTGGTTTGTTTTCGTCCACATCGCACCCGAAAAGCGCATCTTGGATAGCCGCTGCCTCTTGCGGGTCACCAGCCTGAGTACCTGTACCGTGGGCTTCGAAGAACTGGCAGCGATCGTGCGGGTTTTGCTTGGGACAAAGTCCAGCACGGGCATACGTGGCCCGGACCAAGGCGCTCTGTGCATTGCTGTTGGGCATGGCTAATCCTGCACTGCGTCCATCCGAATTCACTCCTGTCGCCCGGATAACACATTCGACCGTGTCCCCATGGATGAGGGCATCAGTCAGCCTCTTCAGCACTACAGATGCCACCCCTTCTCCACAAGCAAATCCATTCGCACTAGAATCCCACATATGGCAGCGATTGGTCGACGACAGCAGCTGCATTTTCGACTCCCAAATATAGGGATCCGGACTCAATATCAAATTACTGCCTCCAACTACCGCTAACGAACACTCGCCTTTACGCAGGGATTCACAGGCTAGATGAACAGCTACCAAGCTAGAAGAACAGGCAGTGTCAATCGTTATCGAAGGCCCATGCCAGTCAAAGAAATAGGAGACACGGTTGGCCAGGATCGAGCCTGCTGTACCAGCCAATGCATAAGGCGGATTTGTCTCCATATCGGCCATGAGGAGATGATGGTAGTCGTGTCGCATGAGTCCACAAAAGACCCCCGTTTGGGAGCCTTGGAGCTCCTCCAGTCGCAAGCCTGCCCGATCCAGAGATTCGTATACTGTTTCCAGAAGGAGGCGTTGCTGCGGATCCATTGCAGCTGCCTCCGTAGGAGAGATATTAAAGAAGGATGCGTCAAAGCTCCGGATATTCTCGTCCAGGAAGTATGATTCCAATACTGAGGTCGTCCCATGATGTCTGGTATGTGGATGGTGAAAAGCAGCGACGTTGAAACGGTCTGCAGGGACCTTTGTCGCCACATCTCCTGGGTTCACCAGCAGCTCCCACAGTCGGTGAGGCGAACTGGATCCCCCAGGGAATCGACATCCTATGCCAACAATAGCAATAGGTTCATCCACTGCCATTGCCAACGGTGTTCGTCTTGGTACTCCCATCAATGAGAGAATGATAAGTGAGGGGATTTTCCATCATTATTCTAGAACTGGAGGTGGGCGCGTGGCAACATTCGTAATCCATTAGTGAATTCAGTCGAACTAGGATGGTGATAACTGAGGTAAGGGGGTAGCCCATATGATTGGGACCGAAGGAATAGATCGAATTGTGCTAACCCGCATAATCAAGGCTCGCTCTGACAGAAACCTCTGACTTATCAAAAAGCCTGTTTCCGGCTGCTGCAGATATTATCAATACATTACTGATGACGTGTATATATCGGTTAGCTCACGCACCAAGATCTAAGGAAGGAGGTATTGCCCGAGAGGTCCCATAGGCCCAAGCCTTGTACACACGGCATCACCATTTGCTTGCCGAATTTCAGGTTTGAAGCTCACCGACCTTTCTCTATGAGGGAAAAATGTCGCAACAATTGATATGCGCAGGATGTTGTGATATCATCCCTTGCATTTTCGCATGGCAGGGATATCAATACGCTGTCCTCTTGGGAACATAGGGTTTCCAAATAATGAGGAAAACCGTGCATAGCTACAATATCATGGCGATTCCAGACTCCAAAAATCTCGTTATTGACTGTCGATTGCTTGCTTACCTCGGCGTCTCCAGATCCTACGATCAAGCACGGCACTAACGCGCTCTCTCTCAAGCGTGTCAAAGCGTCCTTTCCATGGTTTGAATACGAGTGCGGAAAGATAGCCGAATCCGTGTGTCTCAGCATGCTCCGTGATCAATATGGCGTTGAACCCGAGGCAATCCGAAATCTGATTAGAGCAGATCTATCAAGGCGAGAACCAGAGGTGAATTTTATGTTGGAAATTAGCCATTTGCGTACCTAACGTAAACGTCTTGTCATCGCAATGCTGAATATCCCACAACCAGAATATCTAGCTCTTCGAGCGCGCTGGCCAGACCAAATTCTGGTTCATCTTCGATCGAGTATTCACGTCGGCATCTGTTGGCGTGCGCAAGCCGGCCCATGCCTACTACAAGCATGTCTTTGATACTTGTGGGACTCAACCCTGGAGAAACAGTATATATTGATACAAAGATCGAGAATGTACTCACAGCAAGATCATTCGGCGCTCACGGGGTTATCATGACCCCTGAAAGACGCTTGATTCGGGTGCTGAAGAATATCTTTGGCGATCCAGTGCGAAGGGGAGAAGGGTTTTTACAAGCAAATGCCCGCAGAATGCACACAATGTCAGACGACGGAGTGGCTATCGGAGATTTTTATGCACAGCTTATGATTCTGGAAGCCACAGGGAACCGGTTCGTGATCGTTCTCCAGAATACGGCAATCATCTAATTTATCTGTTTTCGAACAACAGGGAGCTCGCAGATATCGAAGGTCCTCAGAAAAAGTGGAACTTTTTCTACGGTTAAGTCGGCCAGGGCTGGTTTTCTTTTACTTGGAGCCAATTCCAGGTAACGGAAATCCTTGCTAACCACGAAAACATACCCGGATGATTTGGATACTACCTCTCTGGCATTTTGCGCCTTGAAACATGAGGACAATAATGTTCATACTGCCATGAATGAGACGCTCCAATATTGCAGTGACGATGGCATCATTATGGTATGTATGTCAGTCCCGATCTATGGCAAGTGCATCATTTAGATCTGCCTTCTTTCTGAACCTGTCCTTTTATAATCGCTTTTTAATTCAAGTTTTTGCTAAATGGACTAGACACTCTTCGACAGAAGACGACCTAGAATTGATCCTGTCATCTGTGCCAATATCCTGACCCTCTTCTACGCCTACAATAGAGGTCATGAGCTACCTCGTACTAGGGAGTGGCTCTATAATGTCCTACGATATCGTGCATACCTCGATGGAACCCTCTACTATGCCACAGCGGAGTCGTTTCTATATCATATGTGTCGACTCGTTCGAACCTCTAAGGATCCAACTCCAGAATGGTTACTCCGGAAGCGCGTAGAAGAACGCATCAAGGCACCGGGTGATGCATTAGCTCTTGCAATGCGACTAGCAGTGTGTGATGCATTGTCCGTCGCCAACCAGCAAGACCTGGCACCCCTACTTTTGCTGCAGTGTGAAGATGGCGGTTGGGGCGCTAGTCGAATGTATCGCTTTCCACAGCTCGATGTGTGGGAAGGGAATCGAGGAGTTACTACGGCGCTCGCGGTCAAAGCGTTAAAGTCTATAAGGCAGACCGAAAAGCAGGACGGTGAAGGCTTGAACTAGAGAGACGTGATGTACAGAGTTTGTATTTACAGATCATTCGCGAATCATCAGTGGTTTAAGCGCTCCGGGGGAATGCAAATGTCGGGTTCGAAGCATAATCTCGAGAGGCCGTACCTGCGAAGTGATAAAAATTTATTCCTATATACCCAGACGAACTACCAGCATGTCGCCATGCGCTTGTTGGCTTGCCAAGATTGAGGCATGAAATCCGGTTTACATGATAAGACGAGAGTACCTCTGGCTTAATCCTCGTCGCCCACAAACTTGACAGGGCACATATCATCTACCATTTTGAAAGGATATGTCCGCACCATACTTTGCCGATGGACAGCTAGAGCTGCATATTACGTCATCTGTAGAGTCTACATGAATCCATTTGAAGCGGACCCGTCGTGAGATATTCTTCAGTCTTACATGTCATGGCCCGCCTGTACAGTCGGCAGCAAAGCCACAATCTTCTTGTTTCTGAGCGCCACAGCCAAGACGCCAGCTTCAAAGCTGAGTGCACGTAAAATGGCCTTCAGGTAGACTTACATTCAATACAACCTATTGTATGTTGTACTCACAAACTTACGGAGAACGCTCTAGATATATGAAAGTATGTAGTCAAGTCGAGAATAAATGTCTCGTCTATCCCTCTTCCATCTATGATCACTCTTGAGTATCCGCCGTAAACCATCTCCGCGTATCTATACTTCATCAAATGGCTCATCAATTTCCCAGATTCATCGAGTTTAGTTGAAGGTACTGTAAAGCAAACAATGGATAGGTGTATTCTAATTCTTCTATCACAGCTCCAGCATTTTAAAAATGACCGTTCGCACTCGCTTCTCGTGCATCCACAACATCAGCACACCACTCAAGGAAGTGCCAAAGTCCTGATTAGCATAGTCCCGACCGTGTCTCTTGAGGAAACCGTTCAGTTCCGCTTTATAGACGGTTGGTTATTCCCCGCCCGTTACAGACAACCTCCATGCCGCACTGTTACACACGGAGTGGGATGTGATATTGACCATGGGAGAGTGACTATTCCAAAGTCTAGAGTAGAAAACCCTAGTTCATGCTTCTTACTATTATATAACAGATAAGATATAACTTGTATTGTGGGTAGAAGTCCTTTTTAAAGCCTAAAAAGTAGCGCGACCTAGTCCGTATCTATTGATGTTGCACAAGGGAAGGGAGGTAATACTGACTGTTGAAGAATGCTTGTCTTAGAAGCTTAGAATGTCTAAATACCTGGTCTCTTTCTTTGCATCACTAGCTAGGTATTGACGTCATCTAATTCTTCAAAAAGAAGTAGTAGTAATCGCCAGAAAATCTTTTTATACATTGTTTGACTCAATAGTATATATGTTGATCTCCTTCTTGCAGCTACAGCTATAGCATCTTCATAAACTACCTGTTTTCTCCTCGGACTAGTCATGATTTGGGTTGCAAATACATAAGCGATTTTATTGGTCAAGGAGGCTTCACTGGATATTGTCATAATTTTGGTAACTCTAGTCAAGCTGATGCAACTGTTACAATGATCAGAAGATTTGAGGAGCCAGTCCAGCTCCACTGACACCAGGAAGATATCCATGGTTCTATAGTTCAGTCTACACCTGTACCTTACCACAGGCAAGATATTTCATTTTTGTAATAGTGTAACAGTAAAGTAGCTATTTTCACCTCTAAGTTGGGGGAAACAACCGACTGTACTCATAAATAATCCCATGGGTATTGTAGCCATCTCTCCCCAGGTTCAGCAGACACGAGCGGTTATGGTGACGTTATTAAGTAGCAGTGTTAAGATGTCTCTGATCTCATCAGCTATTGAAATTGCTACTTTCACTATCTAGACAGCTCAAGATACAATTGCCATGGGCGGCAAAATATCGTGAGGCATATAAAAAAGGGATGACCCTTGTCTTTGGAGACATAAAATCGAACTACAAATGTTCTTCATGGTTGCTGTCCAAACATAGCTCCTTGTGCTGCCTTTGGTTATCGAAGCCTGATAGTCAATGTATTCACCGTTGGATTAGCATTTGCGTCTACCACATACGATGTCGCCGTTATTGGCGGCGGTCCCGCTGGACTCAGTGCCGTTAGTTCCCTCTCTCGAGTCAGGAGGAATGTTATAATGTTCGACTCGGGAGAATATCGTAACGACGACTACGAACCATTACACGACATTATTGGAAGTGACGGTGTGTCAATTCCAATCAATCCTTTCCCTACTTTGCTGAATTCAGTTACTAGGAATAATGCCTGCAGAGTTGCGAGATAAAGCGCAAAAAGAAATTAAGAAGTATGACACGGCAGCGATGAAGAATGCAACTGTGAAATCCGTAATATCCGCAACATCGAAAGGGGACCTATCCAACAATGTTACATCTTTTACGATCAAGGACGACAAAAACGAAACGTATACAGCTCGAAAGATTGTCTTGGCTACTGGGGTAACAGATGTACTCCCAGAGGTAGTTATGAAAATCATTCGCAGTGACATATACTGGTGCCCGTGGTGCAGCGGCTACGAGAGTAAAGACCTGCCTATTGGAATTTTAGGCGACTTCAGTGATATTGTGGGCAGTGTGCTTGAGATTGAGACTCTTAATACCGACATCATTGCTCTTGTCAATGGCACGGAGACCGAGCAACAAGAGTCTATACTAAGGAAAAAGTATCCTGATTGGGAGAGGATGCTGGGAAAATATAACGTTGAAGTCAACAATGCTACCATTACTAACATTACCGTTGATCCTAGCAGCAATAGCTCTGACCCGGTCCGCACTTTCACCGTTGAGTTTGATAAAGGAGACCCAATTGTTCGGAAGTCGTTTATATATAACTACCCTACGAAACCAATTTCGGACCTCCCACAAAATATTAAGGGTTTGAAGATGGACCAACATGGGAAGATAATAACAAACATGACTCACGGAATGCGTACAAGTCTCCCAGGAGTGTTCGCTGTAGGCGACGCAAATAACGATGGAACCACAAATGTACCACATGCAATGTGGAGTGCAAAGCGTGCTGCGGTTGCGATCCACAGTGAGTTATCCTACAAAGCAATGTTCTTCATTGATTCTCACATTTTGTAGTTGAGCTCCAACTTGAAAATTCCCTGTCGGCATAAGAGCCACTCGTAAAGTGGATACTGGAAAACAGCTCTGAGAAAGAGCTCACTCCCATGTGGAAGAAAGAGTTACATTTGTGGTCGATGGTCTGTATAACATCACGGCTCGATGCTTTTGGTGATATGTAGGTGTATTTAGAAGTTTATGTTACAGCGAAATCCTGTAATTTGGGCTTAGTCCCACGGTGAAAACATGAGGGACTACGATAACCTGGAGAAATGGCACAATGCAATTTGTGAACTTCTTCCCGAGTGACCCAGCGTTCATCTACAAACGTATAGAGTTTTCATATGTAAGCCTTGAAATTTTTCAGGGTCAAAAGTCTATGGAAAAAGGTAGCCAAAATATAGTTGCGCAACATGGGAGAGATAGATAGCGGCCTCTTTAGGTCGGCAGTATTACTCGGTGAATATTGCGATGTACATAAAGCTCTAAGGCCAAGGATTGGTTTCAGTTTTATAGGACCATGTCACGGGAAAGAAATATGCAATCAGGAGATGGTGGACCCCATAGATCCTAGAATGATCGAAATGCTATAGTACTGTTGTGACCATTAAGAACAGGTTGGGCTAGATTAGTCAAATACTCACTTGTTTTCCTAGTCAAATTAAGAATGATCCTTGATTATAGCTTCAGACAATCAGACCACTACATTGTTGATCTGTTGGCTACCTAGATAAACAATTGATATAAAGTTGCCTTTCACAACATATAGGACTTGAACAATAGTTTACAACAAGATATCAGAGCACTACCAATTCTTTATTGGGAGGCATGTCATTCGTTATATAAGCCGTTTAAGTCCTGTGATGATATAAATATGATAAGAAGCGCTCAGGTCTTCCCAGGTTTAGTAACTCGGTATAAAACTAGGCTACATAAAGCTTCACTACTACTTCATGACCCTAGTCCCGACAGGCTATGACCTAGGATCCCCAGGCATGAGACGGCCACAACCAGTTCCCTAACGAGGCTATCTTCATAATAACTGCCTCTTGTATTCATTCCACAGTGATCGGACATGGTATGTAAACGCTCTCGGTACGATAAAGTCTGCCACTTACGCACCGCTTCTATTGTGCGCTAGCTGCAGGGTAATTACCACAACCTCTTTGTTCTTTATCTTGGTACAATCAACCGACTGCACGTTGAATTGCGTTCCTGGGAGGAATGTGTATTCCATCACCGCCTCATTTGCGGACAAAGGAGTTATTAGAGTCACTCGGTCCCATACCCAAGAGCCTGGAGGCGGGTTGAAAATCAATAAAATTCCGTTAGAGAACTTCAAAGCGAGGTCCATTGTGTTTGTAGAGCTCCAGAAGGCTTTTGTTGTTAAGGTTTTCCCACTAGTGACGTAGCTTTCCATGAATCTCGCGAACGGAATCTTAAGCGGGTCCCCTACAGGGCCTTGATTGAGATGACACTCGAGAAATTCAATTCCAAAATGATCAAGCCCGAGTTGACGCATATCTACCTGGCCACTATATAGCTGCGGCGTTGAAACAATAGATGTGCGTGGGAGCGCCTGGACGGCCGCAGACATTACACGGTTTTCAATAGTGCTTAATTTGTGAAGCTTGGTAGAGACATTTGCAAGCTGCTTCTGCACATCAGACAACGACTCAGCTGGCTTCATCATGAAAGAGCTCATGTAGTCCTTGTCTTCTGGTGTATATGTGCCCCAATTGCTCGTATAGATCTGCTCAGCTATACTAGGTAGGTCGAGCGGGAATGGTGTTTCTGGGATGCCAGTGTATTCAAAGATTTTAAAAAAAACGTTGCGAGCAAATGACCCAGTCGTCCAATCGTATACGCATACCGCAAGCTCGAGATTATAACTAGAAAAGGGAAAGAACATTTTGCTGAGTACTTCTATCTCTTCAATCGACTTTCCATACGGACCGGGCACATTCTGGTACGGCACGTGCTTCTTTTCCATCATGCTCTTAATGAAAGAAATATCATCTTGTAATATCGCTGGAATTGGCCTGAGCTTTCCTGAGACGCTGGGGCTTGGTGTGTGGACATATATGTACCCTATATCTAAGTCAGGGTATTCCTGAGCCAGCCAAGGCTCTGGTGTGTTTTTTTTGCTTCGGGTTTTTTTTTTTTTTTTTTTTTGGTGGACTGGGGGAGGAAATGGGGAGTTTACCTTCTCCATCGCTTGCTGATTCGTTGTCTTCTGGTTGAATTACGCTCAAGGTAAAACCACCATCTTCCTCTATCTGAAGGGATAACTCAAGACGTGTTTCCGTGCTATAATATCCGTCATCTGGATGGCAAGACCTGCCAAGGCCTGGTATTAGTCTCAACATTGAACCGTTGGCATCCAGTGCTGTTGTCGTGCCTAAATGTAGCTCAGTCAGATCAAGGAACCCCAAATTGCCCACGATCAACCGAGGGGATAGGCCTCCGCGCGTTCCAAGGTCACTGATAGGCCTCTGGGTGTCGATAGGCTGCCCATCGCTGAACCAGAGCGGAAGTTGTGTGTCCCAATCAACAAGACGCCACATTGTAGCAGTTAAACAAAGACAAAATATCTCTTCCGTGCAATTGGGAAAATTGCTGAACTATAAGTAGAATACGAATTCCAGCAAAGGGTCCCGCAATCTTTTTTATCCCCGCGCGAGTGGGGATAAATCAGTATATATATTATAGCAAACTAATTGTCCGTTACCAGAGTGAATGGTAGAGGCGCGGTATGTTTTTGACGCTATAAAAGCAGTCATCTTCTAGGGGTGGGACATAGTGCTAGAAAAGCAAGGTATATTAAATTAGAACCCTCTCCTCCTTGCGTCAGCATATGTCGCCCAGGTCTAAGCCAGGAAATAATTCCGTAAGGAGGTTGCACTCATGGAGGAGGATAATATAGTGGATTGTTGACATCCAAAAATATCAACTGAAAAGATAGGAAATACAACAGATGTTGTCAGGGTCCCTTATCAAAACCAAGCAGGAAGGACCACGCATGTTATTATTGGGAATAGTAGTAGTCGACGACTAATTTGCTCTGGCAATGGGTACCCACGTTTCGATTGGTCATTGGTAGTGGCCTAAAACCCGCAGTCCTGCAACTTCAGGTCAGAGAGGGGCTACTGTCTACACGACTAGAACTTTGAGGGGTAGGAATTACAAATTACGTCGTTATTGGTCAAGGGATACCTCCAATTAAGCAGCATTGAAGGTGCCGTCGACAGAAGGTTTCCCAACACCTCTTGGTTTACAGAAAGATAATAAGCGCTCACCTCCAGTGCCTAGGATTTTACCCCTTGACCGTTCGACGTATGAAGCTAGGAGCCTGACGGACCTCCCGTACCGATAGATGAAAGATAGCCCATGACTGCATCCACTCATTCCGTGCATGTATCTTAGGATGTTCGCATGACCTGTTCAGATGAATTTGATTGGGACCCCCCATGGAGCAACTATGCGGTGAAATGAATCTACTCTTATTCCTATCGAAATGGGATATGGGCAACGCGTCACCAATTCGAGGACCTTTGAGGAGCACCAGAAATGGTCGATGCACATCAAAAATTCCTGCAGCGACATGCATTAACACCCGACTTTTTGCGATTGGAACTCACGGCTTCAAGTTACAAGAGAATGGACCATGGACCACAACGCCCGCATAAACGCGGCACTGGCAGAGTAAAACATTCAAGGTCGCGTAGACTACGCTGCTACTTCTCGAAAATAAAATAGCCTGGTGGATATTGATAAGCTAACCAACTGCGGTATCCCGCCTACTCCTCGAATGCCGAAAATATATTGTCGAGGAAAATCGCACTGACAACGCTTGGTACTGTTGAAGATATGGCGTATAGCTGGTGTATAGCTAGCGCCTTGGCAGCTTGCGGGGGTTTCAACCCTGAGACTTCCCCCGTTCCGGTAACTATTCAGGTAAGATACTGCTCAATCTACGTCTTGTCTCCTTTCAAATGCCATCTTTCCCTGAAATCACAACAGGTACTAATTTGCCGAGCCGCTTCCGCAAGCGACGCCACAACCGTCTTTCCAGCCTGTATTTGCAGACCATAGACCATCAGCGGCAGATCGCTGATAATTCCAGTTATTCCCAACACTTCGGTATAGTAAAACTCTTTTTATATTGTTGTTTTACCGTGGTTTGGAGTCACAACACGCGAACAAACATTTACAATTTTGACAAGTATTCTGGATTGGTCGCTCTAGCTGCACCATGCGAGTCATTTTTGAGACACCCACCGTTGTAGGAAACTTCTCAGAGCCAGTTAGGATGAGAACTGGGAGTTTATCACCATGATCACCACGAACTGTACCGACTACTCCCACCTCCAATCTGCTCTCACCTACAAAGGGGAGTAAGTTGACTTGCAGGAGTCCTGGCTTAGGATTTTTGATTCTTCAAGCGAACTAGCATTTTTTTCCTAGTACTGAAAAGGCTGGAGTTGTGATGCACTGGCTTTTTACTGGCTTCGGCGTGTGTATGACCAGTATACCAAGCAGAAGGCTGGATAAGGCAATCGTTATATGACCCACCGTAACGAGCAATGGGTTTTACCCCACGATGCTTGGATGCCCAACATACCTGATCCAGATATTGAGCGTGTCATTCCCCCATTACTGTGACATGAGATATGGTCTAGGCAGCATCTCACCGTAACTGAGCGCTGAAACCAGCGTGGAGTGTCGTCGCGTCCTGCAGGAAAATACTGGTGATGGGGCTGAGCAACGCGAAAGTAATATTGTTCTGATTCAGAGGAAGATTGAATTATTCTATTCTCATCGTGAACTTGAGAGCTTATATACAAGATAAATACCAGATTGATGCATACGGAATAAATTCCGTATATGAAGCTCTATAGTTTTCTTGATCGAGCCTCGATTAACAACAAAGATTATGAAGAATACTTATGTGTACAGCTGCAGCACGCTGGTAAAGGCGATTTCGTTAAAGTCTATATATCCTGGCAATGAAAACTAGCCTTCAAGCCGCGAGCTACGCCTATTCGCTATTACTGAGAAAGACTTTTCAATAGCGGAGCTAAGGACTCTTGGTAGGGCTAAAGACAAAACCCGCGTCAGCCCCCAAAATACTCTCGTTGTTTCCGAAAGCCAACGACGGAGATGAACTAGTGCATAAATGGCACCGGTTTCGACTTCAACTATGCCCTGTGGACGACGTGATAAAGTAAGTAAACTGCAAAGTGTTACAGACCTGTGTCTAGTTCTATCCTCTTAGTGGACAAGCGGGGCAAAATCCAGGGACCATTCGCTATGAACGGACGTACTCCCCCAGGGGCCCTCACCACTCTTACCCTTCAGGTGTATTATTCTACGCCCACGGATGCATCCCCTCACGGCCCTTGGTAGCCGCTGTACATGACTACTCTTAGTATCTTCTTACTTGGCTCTCTCATGGGCATGCTATATTTCGAGCTAATTTTCTCTTAGACTTCCACTCTAGGAAACCCTCAGCGATGGGAGGCACTTCTGCGTGGTGCTGGGAACCACTTCTCAAGCATCTATGATTACTTGAGAAAGCTGGGATCCGCCATGACCACCACCGATAACGCACATTCCTAAATGATACTATTTATTCTTTCGGTTCCAATACATTAAATCAGTTATATTGAAAAGCATTTAGGAGCACTACTTCCATCGCCAGAATGATAGTAAAATTTATACCCCTTGTATATTTAGTCTTGTCCTTAGCTTAGGAGTTCTGTAAGCATTACCCATTATGTATGTAATTCAAGAAAAAATATAGAAATCCAAAGCAAAATAGGGCGATGACAGTGGATTTGTGTTACTGGCTGATAATGTCGGGCACAAATATGTGCTCCCTTAGTACATGCGCAAAAGATATTAAAGAGGATATTTGGGCGGACGATCGAGAGAGTAAAACAATACGTAGCAAATAGCCACCGCTCCCATAGTTAGTTAGTCTTACTCTCCAAAAGAACATCCTACATTTCTCCATAGTTGCATTCTGGTTAAGAACCCGCTCGGGCTTCATGCGTTGCCCAATCAGCACTACCAAATTACCAGGGATCACAGACCACGGAATAGTACACCTCATCCTATGTGTAGAATGTAACAGTAGTAGCTATGAAAGCGTAAGTAGGCAATCGTTTCCGGTATGTACAGAGAGCCATCGAGCCTGGCAGAGGGGCTAGAAAGAACTTATATCAGTTTTTCAGCTTTTCGGTACTCTCCACTCTAGACCTCTGGTTATAAATACTAGATCAATTCCCACCAGTCCACCTCCTCTTCACCACTTCAGAATATACTCCCCTAGTTTTATCACTGCCTTTAAATAGTTGTACTCTCTGCTGAAAGGAGTTTAATTGTGCTCCGCTACCCGAAAATAAACATGGCAAGCACAGACGAGTGCCAGGGCTATGTACCCGACCCAAAAAAAGATCACAACGGTACATAATTATGACCTTAGTGCCCTTCTAATAGAGCTATATCTGCTAACCTTTACTCGTTTTTCTTGGTAGATGTCTATGATAAACCTGATAAAACTAAAGAAGCTGCAGAAGTCATCAACACTGCCCATATCCTACATTTTACCTTCCCTCAAGTGCTTGACAAAAGCGATTTCCCGACTGTACTCAACTTGATTGGAGGAATCATGCTATCCCCAGAAGGATACGATGTCCTGTATGCCCACGGCTACGTCCCAAACGAGGTCTTACAGCGTTTTGGTAAGGATCAAGGGAATAGCCTAAAGGTTACTGTTACAGCCAGCAAAGTGTACAGTTATTACTGTGGCTATACACCTTTCAGTCACGGTATTACTTTCCGGTCAGCTGTGATCAATGGAGACGCATCTTTGCTTCGTTACGATCCCGATCCTTCACAGTGTAAGGTGCAGATTAGTGACGAGGAGATCGATCCGAAGAATGAGAAGCCGTGGGCACTGTTCAAAATTGTTGAGGGAATGTTTGGTGGTGATGGCAGATGGAAGGATACTCGGCGTCCTTTCAAGGACGAAGAGCTCAAGCGTGTTGCTGTTCTCCGAGTTGAAATTAACAAGAGTGCATCTCGCCTGCATGAGCGATTGGGCGTCCTGGGTTTCGAACCTGACTGGCAAAAACCCATGGCAGATGTGTATTGGCAAGGTTCGATCCCTATCTGGGAGACCTATGGGGATCATATCCAAGGAAATACCGAACGAGACTTTCCAGAGTACCTGAGCAAGGTTTTCATTGACAGGAAGAAACACAATGAGGAAGTGGCAGTGGAGGAAGCAAAGAAGCGATTCAAGAAGGATTGAATCTTCTCTAGGATCTGAATTCAAGTCTCAAGTTACTTCTCATGGGCTCGTATATTTTTTAGATATTGTAGTCCGTATACTCTGGCGCTACCCAACAATTGAGCTCTTGATACTCAGGAGAGAGAATTTACTAGGCTCAATAATGCTTCCGTAGGTTCCCTCTAGAACCCATGCTTTAGCCTTCTTATGTCTAGCATTCCCGGATACGTTAGGCATCTCGCGTCTGTCTCTTGAACGGGAGTGCCACTGTTGCTTTCCAATCCCAGGATTCCTACATCAGTAACACTAAGCTACTGCATAATATCTATGACTTCAAATTTGCTGTTCCATGGAAATATTCCTGCAACCGTAGCATCTACCGAGATAAAAACAGTATATTTGTTGTAATGGAAGACAAGCCGGTTCTTTTTTCCTCTCTCCTTTTTACTTTCGTTTTTATTTGTTTTATTTTATCTTTACGTTTTCTTGTACTTTCCTCTTGGAGTGGAGCCCTCCCTAGAGAGGGGCAAGCAAAACAAAAAGAAAAAGAAAAATATAGAGAAATGAAAGGGAAAATTCTGCTGCCAGGAATGTATTATCTCGGTTCTACCTGATTTTTGCATCAAAACCTGAAGGAATGCTGTAGTAGGGGATATGAAGCATTTATGTATTTATTTATTTATTGGCTAAACTAGTAGTTGATATGTTAGAATTGCTGAATAAGATTCGGGCTCAGTGCGGGTCAGCTTACCGGCACCTTTTCGTGGGTTATACTGGCACCAGGAAGAACATCTGAATTGATCACCTTCGATCCGACTACGGTGGGAAGGTACTGGGCCATAAGCAGCCCAGAAAAGAGAGCTGTACTTATAACTGTAGGTGCGTTAATTGTCAGTAGCGAAAAGCCTGCAAGTAGTCGGATGCGAGAAAGATAAACTCAAGCGGACATTGAGGTCAACTGGCACTTAAAGAAGGCTTTTATATGCTGTATAAATAGCAAAAAGCAATTGCTTGTGTTACATGGCCCACCGCAACCGGAAATGGCTGTACTAGCTCAGGCCAACATAGGTAGATTAATTTATTTGCGTAGCTCTAATACGAGAGAATCGCTCGAAGAAGAGGATATCCTACGAGCGAAACTCTGTGAGATATTGTCTATCTCGAATACAACAGAACAAACAAGTATCACGTCACTACTCGCTGACATTGGCTACGAACTCAGCGGCTTTCACAGAGACTGCGCCGTCACAATGGCTACACCCGACATAGGTCCTAGGACGCTTGATATACTCGATTATCAAACACAGATGGATAATATTCCGTTTAAAATGACGTCTGTATTGATGGCATAGACAGCGTCTCACCATAGCCAGTCCCTGAAAGCTAGACTTGTAGAGCCCTACAGGAAAGAGCTAGTGACATTCCTTCGTGGTGACGGATCTGAACGACCCGGCGATTGAGGTGGCATCAAGCCGATGTATAGTAGTGTCCTAGTGAACCTCAGACATCATAACTGTCATTGAGTAATAGTTGAATCATAGTTGTCGTATCGGTTCTGATTTCTGGGGCAATTGCTGAAAAGACGGTATCAACTTTGCTTAATTTCCTGGCTACAAAAGCCCGGCCAAATCATGGAAGTGACTAGCGTTGAGCAGACAAAATCGAATCTTTAGCTATTTTCCTCTTTCCTTTGAAACCGGAATACTGTCCTATCTGTAGCCAGTCCATGTGACGCAAAGTTCGATAGCTACTAGAAAAATAGAAAATGTAAATGTAAATCTTTCCAGTAGCACCGCTGATGTTAAGGGAATTGAATAGCCAATCCATAAGCTCCTGAATGACACCGAACTTTCTGAAAAGTTCAATAATGGCATCTTCATACATTCCTTCCTCTTGCCAAACAGTTACCACCGCGTCCATGCTCTAGTCAATAGAAAGCTGATTAAGCACAAGAAGTTCCAAGGAGATGTTTATGAGGTAACTGCGAATAAGAAACAGGGAAGGCTGCTACCTATTCCGCGATTCATGAAGCTGCACAAAGGCTTTAATGCCCCCAACGACGTTGAAGCCCAGGGATGACACCGGCTATCAGTGGAACAAGTGTGTGATATGGGGATATTTGATATTAATCAATCAGACTATATGAAAATTGGCAATGTGGCACTTTTCGCCATTGGTATGGCGCAAATATCCTCTTTCAATCATGACAAGAGTCCTGAAGGAGACTTGTATCAGGCTGAGGATACAAAATTCAAAAAGGTGAAGAGATTGCATACCTAAAGTACGGTGGATCAGACTATATTCTACGGTTTGAGAAGGATATGGTTAGTTTATTTTAGTAGTGAGGAGGGTAAGGAGCGTCTCAAACTAAGAACTCTGTACTTGCAAGGCGCAGCTCCTGTTAGTTGTAAAGGATTAGGCCTATTAGAGACTATATATTAAGTAGTGGTTTAGTCACAGTCAATCCTCTAGGGGGAGCCGCGTACAGTTACATATATAATGAATAGGGACTTATTGACCCTACGCTCCTAATGAAAACAGTCTAATGCGATAGTTAAATATATCGTTGTTCTATAAGCTCCTCCGATCTATATGATGGTTGGTGTGTAGTCAATACTTCTACACTGCAGCCCTCCTATACCGAAGACCCCTATCAAGCTCTTCTCCTGAGTTCTTTACATCAGTAAAAGTTAATCGTGAATAATCGGCTCTTTCCCTTATACTCTCAAGTTAATTTTTGTTAAAGATATAGCGTATAGTTGGTGTATAGCTAGCGCCTTAGCAAGCGGGCGGGGGTTTTAACCCCTGAGAATCTTTCCTTTTTCCAGTATCTATTCAGGCCAGATACTGCTCAATTTATGTCTTGTCTCCTTTCAAGTGCCATCATTCCCTGGAATCACAACAATTTTAAATATTATTGAGATTGGATAGTGTATGTCCATTAAACATTTGAACGCCATCAATTCAATGTTCATAAATACCGTTTCTCCTCGTGGGTCATGAATCAGATTTAAAGATATTGTTTATTGTTGATCTCTATCAGTGTGTGAGGTTCTACCTAAACCAGCTATCATATATTGCCTGGGAATTCCGATGATCCGGCCGGTAAGCGGAAATAAGTCCCACAATAAGCTTTAGCGCTTAAGTTAGTTTAGTTAGAGATGAACAGCGAATAGCCACTCAAGATTATACAAAGAACGTCCAGGCGCTAGGAGTAGTTTTAAAGATAACCCAAGAAGCCGGTAATGTCACTTGCCCGATACGAAGGGTGAAGAGGTAACAGGGCAGATTCCATTTGAGACCGAAGTAGAGCTAATCTACGCCTCGTTGATGCTACGCTGCTGGGTCGACTCTTTAGTACAGTCGATCACACCTGCTTTCACTACGGGCGAGTCAATGCGCTCCGCAAGATTATCCTGCTTACCATCCTGGAGAGCCGAAGAACTCTCTTTCGGCTGCCGAGTGAATGGCCTGCGTCCAGCTTTTCGCGGTTTTTGCGGGCCATTACATGTCAGCCTACCGCGAACGCAACTGTTACCTTGATAGAACATTAGCAATACTTCTTCTGAACACTGCATTAAAAAAGAAAGAGCCAGGCATACATGCAGGACAATTTTCATCGCATTTGACTCTCTTTTTATGACAGGTATTACAACCGGTTCTGGACCTTGTAATCTTTTTCTTCGACGCACTTTGAACTGTATTATCGGGTTTTCCAGATGGAGTAGACGCAGCTGGTGTGGCGCCACTGGCATTTCAGGCCCGGTACTTATGGCTTTGCAACAGTAGCTGCTACACCTCAGCAAACTGCATATCATAGTCGTCAATTTGTTAGGCAGTTGATATATAGCTGCCCAGCTGAGATAGGTCTTGAGAACGGTTGCTATTGGAAGACTGTGATCAGAAATGTCCAAAAGCATCAGCGTGGCGATCGGGTGTGCCAGCAACAATCTTCGGCTCAGTTTCCGAGATTAATGCCGACAAACATTGATATTTGTGTTGACTTGGCGATGAGAATCTCTGTTCTCTTGGTTTATTTATAAGGTTGCACCGGGCCTCTCCGCCGTTGGGTCAAGCTTCGGTTACTATTTGAGGACTTGGTACTGAATTCCCCTTAGTTATGCAAGACATATAATCTATATCTACTGTGGCTGTATGCCCAGCCGGCCTACTATCTGTCTCGTTCCGGGTATTCTGCTTATCACTATTTATTGCGGGAATGGTTACGACAGCTATTGAGGCCTGCGCTCTCATGCCTACAGCAACAGAACCAGGTTAAGATTATGGGTTTACAGGCTAAAAGTTAGCAGGAGTACTTAGCTCACAGGACAGCTGATTCATGGCGCTAAGGCTATTTCCATATCTATCATTGGCAGAACGGAGCTAAGTCGATTAGCGGCCGTTACTGGATGATAAATGGTCCCTAGCAGCCTCCCCAACTATGGAATATTGGACACCGGTACCAACTTGGTCAGAACTCCTTATTTTTGAACCTGAAGCGCTGGAGCCCGAACACTTATTCCATGAAGTCCTATCTGTGACATTACTTGGCATCTGCGCTTTAGCGTGCGCGGTTTGGAGAGTAACAAGAAAGAACAAGTAAAGAGCGGATCTTGAATAGGGCTTTTTGGGACGCCGAAGTTAATCTCAGACAAGGTCTCTGTTCGGCATCGTTCGCAGTAAACCCAGGGATCTACTATGAGAAGCAAGCGTGGACAACTCGTTGATGCGGCAGGGATAAACAGTCCAGTTTATACGAACAGTGTACGATGCGAGTCATGCGACCAACAAATATTAGTGGCGGTTCCGACGGCAGCGTAAAGGAAGAAAATGAAGCAATTCGCATTATCGCTACTAAACGCCCGTAGAGTCAATAAATAAAGTTGATTGCCTGATTCCTCTGCCAATCCTGTATTTGAGGCTGCAGTTTTATTTTCTGTATAGGGCGCTGGCGGGGGGTGACCGTACGCCTTTAAATACACCTTATTTGCTGCTGTCTTATTTTTTCATTATCTTCGGCC